AAGACCTACACCTGGACCAACTCCGGCCCCTTCCACGAGACCCCCAACATTAGCGCCGGCGCCAACGCCTGGTGAAGGCACTCCAAGACCTACACCTGGACCAACTCCGGCCCCTTCCACGAGACCCCCAACATTAGCGCCGGCGCCAACGCCTGGTGAAGGCACTCCAAGACCTACACCTGGACCAACTCCGGCCCCTTCCACGAGACCCCCAACATTAGCGCCGGCGCCAACGCCTGGTGAAGGCACTCCAAGACCTACACCTGGACCAACTCCGGCCCCTTCCACGAGACCCCCAACATTAGCGCCGGCGCCAACGCCTGGTGAAGGCACTCCAAGACCTACACCTGGACCAACTCCGGCCCCTTCCACGAGACCCCCAACATTAGCGCCGGCGCCAACGCCTGGTGAAGGCACTCCAAGACCTACACCTGGACCAACTCCGGCCCCTTCCACGAGACCCCCAACATTAGCGCCGGCGCCAACGCCTGGTGAAGGCATTTCAACACCTACACCTGGACCAACTCCGGCCCCTTCCACGAGACCCCCAACATTAGCGCCGGCGCCAACGCCTGGTGAAGGCATTTCAACACCTACACCTGGACCAAGGACATCAGCACCATTGCCCACGAGTGACCCAGCCGTGGCTGTTCTGCTTCCTGCGCCAAACCTCGAGTCTGCCGTGCTCTCTGACACACAAAGGACGTTCTCCCTGCAGTTCAGCAGTAGATGCTTTTGTGCTGAGGTGGGCTGGAGTGGTACGAATGTGGCACTCTGCGGCTACGACATCGTTTCGGGGGAGTATGACAAAGGGTGAGAAGATTCAATAACTTCGTCGCCATTTTGTCCACTGTTTCCGTTTGCAGCTCTCGCTTCTTGTTTCGGAGAGCTGCGCTGGGTACCCCTCAGTGCGAAATAGAGCCCGTGAGTCGTAACCGACTCTGACAGGCGTACTGCTGGAAATTGTTCTTCCTTTTGTGAGCGTACCTTTAGAACTGCTACAGGACAATGTATGTCTTTGTGTCCGTATTGGCATCCGTGGGGATCTTACGGCACCTGATGTGGTGTTCGATTACCAGAACGCAAACGCATTACTTCGTCATTTACTTCCTCGTTCTGGTGCATAATCTGGATGCGTGGTAGGTGTGACATCGAGAAAGTGCTCGACGAGGACACTCGAACGACGTTCGGAAACCAGTCAACGTGCGATTGGTCGGAAGACAGCTTGACGGCACTTATAACCTACGATGACGCGTATGCCGGCTCATGGAATGCCGGAGTCAACATCACTTTAGCCGGCGGGTGAGGTTAAAGGTCTTGGAATGCATCCTTTGATTTTTCACAGCGAAGGTTCACATGTTTACGGGAAAAGACGAGTCTCGACTTCGATGCCCTCGTTCGAGACGTTTGGTGATATTCTGACCAAATTTAATCACCATTTTTCCTGTATTCGAAACGTTTGGCATTCATCGCACCCACCCCACCTCACCCCACCTCATGCGCTACGGAGGCGGTCATTGCTACTCATAGACGACGGGTGGGCCCACATTCCTCTTGTATTGTTAGGCACATGGGCTTAATGTTGCCACACTCGCCTCATGTGTTTCCATGCGCTTATTCACCCCGCCGCTCTCGGTGGAGCGAAGGCGATGCCAATGAATAGTGTACGTGCACATGTGCCACGACCCAGATGCCACATGAATATCCCTCCGAACATTTTACCTCGTTTCAGGTACGTTGTTGGAGGGATCCCGTCGGTGTCGGACGGCGTCATCGAGTATGCCACAGGAACGGTATCTCTCGAAGCCCGTACCGCCCCGCCCGAGCTGCTCCAGGTAGCACGTGTTTCACACATTGTCTGGTTCATGTCCCTGCAGAGAACCACGCGTCCTATATTGAAGTATTCCGTAAGCATTAGCCGACCCCAGCGGTTGCTGCGAATTCCTCTAGCCCACCATATTTCAACACTGGCGGTTTGTGCGATATGTCTTTCGTGCTAGACCGCGACCTGTACTTGTGAAACGTAAGCAGGCCATGTTTTCAAACGACGGGGAATTGATCATCGTCGCGTTTTCACCCGAGAGCTCAGCAAGTAGCGGGCTGCTCAACGCCACCGACACCGCATCAGGAAGCGGCCCGGGGTCGTGCAAAGCGCTGCTCAATGCATCCTCGATTGCTACCATCGGTGAAGGGGCAGCATGTGAGTATGTTACATTCTGTACAACGTTGCAAATGAAGGGTGTACCAAGCGTAACTCAATCAAGTTAACGAGCGCAGAACCGTCCATTTTCCCGCTCGGGTGGATACTATTGTTCACGGTTTGCGTTGCAAGCAGCACTCCGTGGTCGGCTAGTCACTCCAGGGCGGCCTCGTGCAAGCACTAACCGCTCATACCTGTCGCGCATTATGCAGGATGGGATGTGTTTTTAGTGAGGTGTCGCATCAGTTTCAGCATCAGCGATGGAAACCTCTCCTTTGGTTGCGTCCGAAACATTTATGTTCTCATTTATCATCCAGGCGAATGGACGGGGGAGCGAGAGTTGACGATAGCCCTCGGCTACGATGCAATAGTCAAACCGGACACGGGCTCCGGTGTGTCATGCCTGAGCCAGGCTTCCTGCATAAGCCTGCTCGACGGCGGCGTCCGCACGGAGGCACTGGCTGTTCTCTCCTCCGAGGGCTCCACACCAGTGTTGGCCCCTGAGAACCCTCCTGCGGTATCGGCGGTCCTGGTAGCCCCTCAGGTACAGCCGTCAGACGTTTGACCTGGCACCATTGTGTATGGAACCATGCCCACCCGAGGACGTGGATTTAGGAGTATACGCATGTCATGCAACATGATGATTTTGGTCTTGAAGCGTGAAAAGTGAGCGAGGTACTAATTGTCAGCACCATGCATATATAAATTGACAGTGTCGCGAAAGTGGCGTAAGAACTCACATGCTTTTGAAACTGTGCTGGCAAGAAACAACGTACGGCTTCCAAAGCGAGTTGTAGTTGCCTTTCCGAGGGTTGGAACGACTCTTCGAAAGAGCTTGGCGGTTGTCACACAGGTTGAAGTACACCGAGTCGTGCTCTCCTGACAGCTTGAGGGAAGAATCCCGCTGTGTCAAACAGGAACCGCGTAACCACACGCATACCCACGAGGGGGCCTTGTGCATGAAAGCCAGTGACACAGATGTCGAAACACCACCCGTTCCCAACCCTCAACGCCCGGTGTCATCCCCATTCTTTCCAAAAATGTAATGACCGATTCTGCTGGGTGCACCAAGACCGTGGGGCTATGCGGCACGCTCACGCTAGACGGACGGGCGTCCTCAGGGGCGCTTTCGCGGACCATGTCGGCGTCCTGGAACGTTTCGGCCGCGTCTTTCGCCAACACGAGTAGCATCGAAGCTGCACTCGCATTGTTTGAAGGATCCCTGGTCGCAGAACTCGACGCAGCTGCGTTAGAGCCCGGGGTGAAGTTCATGTTTGCCCTAACCGTGGGGAACTTCCTTGGCGACACGAATGGAGTAACTGTCGCCGTCACGAGAATGTGAGATGTGTATCTGAGATGTGATCTATTTTCGACTTTGCAGTATGGACTGTTCCGGAATGTGGTACCCTGGAACCAGGTATCCTGGAAGTAGTTCTTGAGCGATTGCCTCCAGAACGCCTTCGTGGGAGACGTGTGTGCTCCAACACCAGAGTCATGTCGACTACAAACCACACTTCCGCGTTTCCATGAGATGAAAACAGCGGTGCTTTGGAGAATTCCGTGGAAAAGTCGGCGACTCACCCGAACGAATCAGCTTCACCTTCGGGAGAGTATCAGCCACGATACTGTTGCTTTTAGCGTGACTCCTAGACAATACGAGGCAAACGACAGCCACGTGCTCTTTAACCGTTTTGCAACCCTTGCATGTTATTGCGTTTGCAAACCTGCTCTGTAGAGCCGAGGACGTACCGTCGGTTGCAGTTCTTGGATCAGCAACACGAGTTGTGAAGAGGAGCCGGCCAACCTCCCTGAGGATCACAGCAACATCACCGGCGTGCGGTAAGCTCGAAATTAGTTGCCCGGCACGCCGCGTCCCACTAAACACTCTACTCGACTGTACACGCTGTCAGCGCCCACACTGAAATTGACGAAGAGGGCCATTCGGCGTAAATTGCGAGACGCCCTCCTTGACCGCTATTAGCCTCCTACTGTTGCCCGAGAAAGGACGTCTCTGCATCACTTCCGCCATTTTCGTGGACTCGCCCGCAAACCCACTATGTCCAGGCGAAAGGCAGCTACTCAATCGTTCGTGGTCCGAAGTTGGTGGAGCTGCATACGACGAAATCGGTACTGAAGTGTTTCAGGTGATGGAAGAAATATATAGTGGGTGTTCTTCCCTCCAGCAACCACAACGGGAGAGGAAAAAAATAGCATACCCACTGTTGATGGAGTCAAAACTAGTTGATTTACTCTGTTTGATCAATTGAGTTGAGGATCATGCCGTGGCAATGGCGTGAGTTCCATGCCACGGTGACACGCGCTTTTCACATGGATGGAGGCTTGTGCTACGAGAGGCATCTACAACGATCTGAACCCATCCAGGATTAATGGTCAACAATGCCGCCACCGTGTCGAGGCACCGAACGGATTTCAGGTTGTTCCCGCCTTTCTGTGCCACCTGGTTCCAACCCAAAGAACTCTGCATGTCTGTGGCTACACACTCATCGTGTTTGTCTCGTGAACATGGGAGGAGACATGCAAGACAAACGACAAGCGGGTTCATCCTCACGCCATCGCTCCACGTTCCAATGATACATGAATGACGGCCCGCTCGTCCTGGAATCATGCGACTGACGGTTGCTGACATCAGGACGCTGGACATGCTGAAAACAACGATTCTACTGTAGCTGAGGCACAGCCACCGCATGTTCATGAACGCCGACAAAACCGCTGTCTAGAGCAGGCAAAGGAAGCTCACTCGGCATACGTTTTGTGCTATGCGAAGCGCAAGCGAAATACGATAACGGTAGTATACAACCTGCGCTAGGCCAGAGCGGTGCGAATCTTGGCACGTGTTTGTTTTCTCGTGCTGCTCCACTTTGGTTGATTCCTCGCACCGAGAAAAAAACAGACTCTAGATGATTGCTTCTAGGGCAAGCAGGCTGTCCCACACCCCACCTTCTTTTTGGATGGTTGGCGAGGGGTAACCTCTTCGACAATTTGTCCTTTTCCGCTTCACGCAAACTCGAAGGGCTTAGCGCAGCGCGATCCTACGGTCATTACGTTTCCTGCGTACACCCTGGGCTATCCGGGGTCCAGCTACCTCTTTGCCGCAACTGCGACTTCGCAGCTGTCCGAAGCGAGCGCCTCAATGACCGTGGAGGTGCGTTTATCTCTGTGGACGTCACTTGCTTCAAAGTTGAGGTAGGTCTTCCTGGTTTGTTCTACGAATCGAATTATTGCTCCTTGCCCCTCCACATACGTCCACAGGAAATGGTTTACGCAATCACAGCCGTATTTCCTAGAAACCTGTGCCGTAATACCACACTAAGCTGCCCGTTCCCATTCGCCTGACAGGTTTCTGTTGAACAAGGGGTTCTGCGGGCCAACATCCAAGGGGGCGAATTCCGCCAACATTCTGCAGGTGGATAGGGATTGCGTTGGTCTCTATTAGGGTGTCTGGTGCCGAACGGTCGTGTCGAAAGGAAAAAACTCTTGGTTTTGAGGCCTGAGATCCTCGCCAGCCCCAATGAGTACAGAAGGGTTAAAGACGATTAAAACGGTGCCCAAATCTTAATATCAGCGACACAGAGAATTATCATCCTATTGGATAGGATCCCTGGTGCCATTTTCGGCACGTTTCGTCCCGGCCATATTCGGTCACTCTCATGCAAAGTAGTGACCCTGTGGGCATCCTAAGAGAACTGGTAGGCCTGTGCGTCAAGTGTAATATTTCCAAGAAGCAATAGTGTGCGTGAGTAGACCTGGCTTCCGCAAAAGCCATGCATGGACGGTATTACACCATGTATCCTCAAGGCCCAACACTCCAATACCATCCGCAGGCAACGACCTTGTGCTGGACGGGAGCGACTCGGTGGACGACGACGACATCACGGAACTAGACATGCGGTGTGTTCAGTGTACATTCCTGCTCCCCTGTCACAGACCCCTAGGGGACATGTGGATTTCAACAGCTATGAACGCCCCATCTTTGACCGTACACCGTGGATGACTTAGCCCTATCTGCTTTAGATGCGCTGGTCGAGGCCTGTCGCACTGAGCTAACTAGTCGACGTCCGGGGCGGCGGTATAGCCTCCCGACACATAGACGAACACAATACACTAGCACCGTTTGGGTGGTTGCCCTAGTTGCCTGATGTGCCCGGCGCGCAATTGACAGCAAGCCTGTTGCCCTGGTGACCAGTTCAGAAGGAATGGGCGAATTCAAGCCGTGGACACATATTGTTCGCACGGCTAATTCACCGTACCCATACGTGAATCGAGCGTAGCTTCGACGTACGACGTCCTTGGTGATGATGCACACGTTTCAGGTACGAGTGGTGGTGTTCACAGAACTGCACGTCACAAGATGACTGGACTGCGGACGCAGACGGATCCGTACTGGTCATTCCTTCCGAGGAGTTGGAGTCAGGGCTGGTAAGAACCTCCCGACTGCGTAGGTTTCAGAGCGCCTCCTCGGTGTCGAGCTACACGCAAGCTGGTGGCCAGGGCAGGTTGTGGGTAGGTTGAGGAACCTACTAAAGGTGGGGGGGGGGGGGGGGTGGCAACTTCAATCTTCGCCGCAAGTACTTTCGGCGCCGTTCGCGGGAAAAAATCGCTGTCGTCTCCCTTATGTTTCGTGTCAGAAGATCCATTTTCTTCCAGCTTGTGACTTGATTCTTGGTTGATGCATATTGATATCCCTCAAGCTGCTGCAAACCAAATCCACAAGCTACCGTGGCGCACATCTCCGCATGAATCTAGAAGATGACGACCGCTGTTTACCATCGATATTGATTCTGCCGGGCGTGCCTATAACATTTTTGCTCACGTAAATTTACGTCTGTCCATTGACTTTGATCTCGGAATCGATCACGCCAGCCGAGCCAATCCCGTTAAAAACCTGTGTATCACGGCAGTTCTACGAGTTCTTCCTCAACGTCAGCAAAGGCAGCGTCGATTCTACCGACTTATACAGTCAGCTCCGCTGGGATACGGCCAGCGTCAAAGTGCAGGTGAGGGCGAGCAACAGAGTCTTCCTTGTTCACGTAAGGAATCATGAAGCCAAGTGCGGATGTGAATCGTAGAGTAGGTACCTGTTTTGTGGCGCATCGCAAGCATTCCTGTTAGAACCTACAGCTTGCTGTTGGCCTTTTAGGGTCAATGACGTTGCCGGGCCGTCATAGAAGTATTGGCCGTCGAGGAAACCTGGTAATCGCGGGCTTCTTGTAGCTGAATTGTTTCTGTTTCTTCAGATTCAAGATCGTTCTGACCTGGGATCCAGTACCCCTTCTTCCCTACTACTCAAGCCAAACAACCCAAGTTCCACGAGCATACACGGTGGAGTTTGCTTACTTGTTGCCTGCTTCAATTCAATATGCTGCACGCTACCCCATCGAAACTTCGTCGTACTGTTTCCTCGAAACTCGAACTTGCCTTCGGAAGTATAAACGATCATCCGTGGAAATAACCTGCGCGTTCCTTTCGACTTATCCGCGACAAGGTTGTGTCCTTCGAGGCTCCCGAGGTCGTTTTGATCTCCAAGGACGACAGCCTGAAGCAAGACCCTACCAAAAAAGTGGTCATCTATGGATCTGTCTCGGAACAGTCATCGTCGTACGATCTCCTATGGACCCAGGTAGGTAGAACACAAGGGCGGGCTTTGTCGAGGGTGCTGCAAAGAATTCTCGATACGTGAACTTAGCGAACAGAGGACGGACACTGCGCCGCTATATTTTTGTGGCGGCAGCTCCAATGCCCATCCCCAGTAATCGAAACACCGCACACAGTCGGAGCTGCGGCTTCTGTTGTGGAGCTCCTTGCTACCGACGACGATCGTACCTGAGGTCGAGACGCACCCTTTTCGACCGCAAGAAAAAAATACGCGATGTTGTTGTGGCTCCACTTATTTCTTCAGGCCGAAGGGGACCTCGACCTGGAAGAGCGGGAGTGGAGCACGGTTTTCGCTACTGCTCAAACGGGGTGAGAACAAACGACTCGTGGTTGCGTAAAACGTTCGAGATCGTGGTTTGACCGCAGCGACGGCAACCACCAAATCTCGTGAACATCATTGACACAACCAGCTCTCCAAACAACTTTTACAATTCATTTGGGAGGTTCGCTGTAACGGCGTTGACCGGGTCTTCCGTGCTTCGTACTGACAATCCAGGGCCAACCTTGTGATCCCAAGAGGGTTGCTCACCGGTGGATCTACCTATACCTTTCGCCTGTCAGCAACGGACGTGGCTTCCCAAGCAACAGGTGGGCGTGACAATGGTCCTACTGTCCGGGGAATAGATTGATACGCCTGCCGAAGACTCGCTCGTGTGTATTGCCACTCGCATCGCTCAAAATGGTTTAGGCTGCGCTGTTTCTGCTGGATCTTGGAAAAGCCGTGCGACTATTTCGATTTTCGATGCGTACCCGTGGGCTTCAACTGATGTCGTGGTTGAGTGAGTTATTTTTCGTGATAAATTGCCCGGTTAGCACCTCAACCCCTCTCCGCCACCAAACCAGAAGCACGATACCCGATTTCGCACGTCCTGCAACCACCTTCAGGTTTCGCGGATATGACCTTGACAATAAACGCGCCCCCCACTGGGGGCCACGTCGATGCTTCTCCAAGGGCGGGAGTCGCAGCGGTCGATACGTTTTTGCTGGAGAGTCTAGATTGGACGGACGAAGTGGACGACCTCCCACTAATGTTCTCCTTTTCGTACAACAATGAGGTACAATAGTCTAATGCTCATGCAGCTTCATTTGCTACAGCATAGAGATTGGCCATTCGATTATCACACTATGGACAAGATGGTAGAACACAACGACGTTGCTGCGCGATGCCCAACACAGATACCAGATAGCATCTAGGCAGCAAACACATTGTTGTACCGAGGATGGATGTTCCAGAAGCCCACGACGGAGATGGTCACGAGGGAAATGGTTGCTGAGGCAATGTAGACTTTCGTAATGCAGGCATACGGAAAACGCGGGGGTCGTACGGGATCAGTGTCGCCGAAGGATTTGGGTAGCGTTGTCGAGGTACGAGGTCATGGCACGTGTGCAGTGGGGTATCCCGTGAGAGGCACGGGCGTGGGCACTGATTGTGTATGCCTTTTGTTTCCGGACCTGTAGATAGGCACGCTGCGTGCTGAGTCTGATGTGCAGTATGTTGATCGCAGCGGAGTCATTTCTTCGTGTCTTCACCACAGGAGGAGAGCGGCCAGCAACGCAGCCTTTCTGTGTTCGCGGTGGAATCGCCGGAGTGGCAAGGGTCGTTGCCTCTCGGCCCATCGTCGGACAACTACACGATGTTGATCAAAGGTGGAAACTCTAGGAAGTTCTGTTCGTTTCCCTCCTTACGATTTCTTTTTTTTCTTGCCACCGGCGTAAATTGTATTGCATTCGCACGTCATACCCGCGACGGTCATCGTTGTAGACTGGATTGGCGAAACTATTAACGATACCCTGACAGCGTTTGCCCTCTCTGCGTGGTCTGAATACCCTTTCCCGACGTTCAACGTATTTCACGGTCAGTGCAGACAATGACGCGACTCTCGAACGTCCCTAGGCGTACCCCTCCGAAGCAGGACAACTCTCGTTTTCGCCAGGGCATGTGTGACCTGCCCTTCCGCACGCTGAACAATGTGCAGGCCATGTATCTGATAGTTTCGGGGCAACAGCAGTGTCAACAAGCGACGCCATTGGGTCGCCGGTGACTGTTCGGGTTGCTGGTTGGACTGCTTCAAACGGTGATGCTGTAAGTGAAACAAAGCATCCGATACGTACAGGACATGAGTTTTACTTTGCGTATTCTTGTCGACGAAACACAGCGTGGAGTACACCTCCTCGTTATCGCGTGCGAAAACTGGTGATGGCTACAACCACGCGGGGGTTGCACTATGACGATCATCCAGCAACATTGTGTGGTTGTTAAATGTTAGGAAGTTTTGGTTCAACGGACAATCGGGCTTGATCGAGGCGCGCCAGAATGACGACTTGATGACGTGTTGTTGTAGGTAATTTCTCTGTGTAAAGGCTGGTCAGAGGCATGCATCATATGATTTATCACACAGACCCATCTGGTGTGCAGACAATCATCGACGCCTACCAGGCAGCACATGACGAGACCGCCGACACCCCAGGAGAAGCAACATCAACTGTCCGGGCGTACGCCTCCTTGCTGGTGGACCAATTCGAGGATGCGTCTCTGTACGTCCCAGAGGAAATTACAATGTACCAGGTGAGCTTGTAGTCGAGATGTTGTCCTCATTTCGGTGGCATTGGTCATGTGTGTCGGCGCCGCACATCGTTTGCCGGTGGTCTGTAGGAGGACTACGCACCACACACATCTAAGCCGGACTACTCGAGTGTCCTGCCGTGCTACCTTTTCGCCAATCCGAAGGGTTTGATGGCGACCATGGTTCAAGACGCAGCGGATGACTTCGAGGTGTTGGAGTACTCCACAACGACCGCGGGGGCACTACTAGATACGATGGTGCTGGTGTCAGGGAGCGAAAACCTACGAACATCGGATTCGCAGGTGCGAAATTTTGGTCATCACCTCCCATGGTAGTGAACGCACATGTGGTAGAGCGTCGACTACAATAAGCGTTGTTTGCCTGATTGTTTGATTCCAACGAATCCCTGCCTTCTTACCGCGCTCGTGCTATCATCCGTCAGTATATGACCGCATGCCTAGAATCGCGATGACTGACGGCACAACCACTCTACCGCTGTTGCTGAACGAGATTGAACTGCGTTGCGGTTCCGCATAATTTCGGAAGGCCGTTGTTGAGGTCTTTCCCTTTCGTAGCGTATGCTATCATTGATTGTGCCCATTTCCAAAACGGCCCATCCAAGACGATCAATTCGCCCCGCTAAGCACGCGGCATCTCATGTACGAGCATTTTCATGAAGGTTCAACGGTGTCTGAGAGACGACAAGTTAACCCAGATCAATTGGTGCTCCTCAAGCCTTATTTTCACTTGTCGTGAACTTCATCAACAGGAGGCGATTCTGTCGTTGTCCGCGGGGGTACTAGAGCGTGCGGTAGAAGAGGACTCCTGGGATTCGGACTCCTTCAGCCCCACCCTCGAACTACTTGATAATGTCATCGGCGGATACAACGCTTCTTCAGCTGGAGTTGTGGGACGAGAGAAACTCGGTGATGCTGCCGCCGAACTGTAAGTGAATATCGCATCTCGACTTCAAAAATAGTTTGTAGAAGGGACTTCGGAATATGTCGGTCGTTTCTCCCGAAACGCACCCGATTCACTTCCAGGGACGAGCGTGATCGAGGTTCATGGCACTTGTTTTCGCAGTATTATCCGTTCGATGGAAATGGTTGACAACGGTGTCACGCACTGATCCGGGCGTTGAAATGGAGAAAACGTTTTCCGCTCGAGCATGCTGCGATGTTGTCCTACCTTGGGCCAATCCTGGTTTCGAATGCCCAACGACCTGCTGCCTGAGCAGATTGCCGGAAACGGTGAGATCGATGGCGCTTCTGATGACATCAAACCTGGAAGACGGAGAGGACGCGGCACTCATTGGGAACAGTTTCATTGATGTGCTGGGCCTTGTCACTTCGAAGACCGCGGCCATGGACCTCGCCGCTGGTGAGACGATGTCTCTCTTGCCCTCATCCGTTGACACCCTAGACGAGGGGCGCGTGCTTTGCTATCATCGGCAAGGAACATGGAGCGACACGGAAAGTGTTTTTTGCTACCCTCATCCGTGCTAGCACTAAAACTGGACTCAGAGGATCTGCTCGCTTTGCTCGACCACATGCCATTCGATCAGGTTCATTATCGGTATTTGTTCCTAAGGGTGCTTTAAACCCCACAAGCGTGCGACGGAGAAGAAGACGAATGACGACCTCATCCTCTAGTCCAGCGGGCCGAATAATCAACGGTCGCATTTTGCAACGACGCCGGATGGACTCGATTGCGACAGCGTCAGCCACAATAACGATCGCCAGCCTACAGTTCAGCGCCCATGGCAGACCATCAAGCCAAGTAGATGCTGGGGTATCGAGCATAACAATCACCACCTCAAGTGAAGGCCAGGTATGAAGCTGCAATTACCAGACAAATACATGGTCTACAGAAGCGCCTGGATAGGTTAAAGTCAGAGCCGGACAGGCTTCATTCTGCTTAGGTACAGAGCAGTCGAAGTTTGTTGTCGATCCGAAGCAAGGTGTGCCCGGTCGTTCTCGCATAGTTCGGGCCCTTTCGAGTTTGTTGACGGGGTATTGCCGGAGCGGTATGGTCTGCGAGGAAGTTTCTTGCTTGCAAGGGGGGGCTCTGTTTGCTCGTCCGGAAATGTTTCTCACCCTCCGCCTCGGTCACCAGCATTCCCGAAATCTTGGCCGAAACTCTTGACGCCCGTCTCGCAGGATATTGCCCTCTCAGCACCAGTTCGAATGACGATGAGGGCTTCAATGGCGACAACGTTGTCCAATAGCCCATCCTGCGTGTACTACAACGAGATTACCGGGCTCTGGGATGAGGATGGGCTAGTAACCGAGGCCGCCATAACGCCAATGGACGAAAGCAACGCGGATGGACTAACGGGTTTGAACGTTACCTGTTGGTCGTTTCACTTGTCGGACTTCACAATATCTGCGGACGAAGTCGGCTCGGGTTTTCAGCATGTGGACTTGGTGAGAGCCCGAACACGACGTCTCTCGAATAACTCAGACGCACCAGCATTGCAAGTGCGGAATCATTGAGGTTCGTACATGGGCCCTCAAAGAGAATCCGCTCGGAGAGGAGCAGAGGTGGTGGGAGAAAAGAGACAAAGGCCTTCGTTGACGCGGGTGTAAAATAGTGAAGTTCCATTGACACGCTTCTTGAGCATGCCCAAACATGAAGGCAACACGCATGCGTCGCCGTTTTGCCTGGCGAGCCATGGTTGATCTTCACGCTGCGATGTGTCATTATCAACCAGAACGCACCGTGTTCGAGTGCATGTAATTAACCCGTCGGTCTGTTTGTTTCCCATTTTCCGTGAATGAACCTCCAAACGTTACGTATTTATCGCACCATAGACCTCGGGGAAAGTCGTCTTTCTAAAGGCGCGGGAAATCTCCAAGATGGGTGTCCTGCTACTGCTTTTTGTCCTGCTGCTGCTAGTGCTCCTCCGCACCACCGCAAGAATGGCGGATGTCAAGACTAACCTCAGCAATCAGTTGGCAAGGAAGACTGACGAGGTCTACGTAGCCACCGGGAAGGTATGGGGATGATTGCTTGTACAAAAGCGTTTGTGCGTGGTTGCGGGTGAGCTGATGCGGAGAGTGGTACATGCGTGGCGGATGGCGTGATCTCTTGGGTCCGGTCAGTTGCTCTCGGGTGTTGTACGCTCCTGTTGCTACATGATGTCCCCGGAATTGATCTTCCGCGTGACGAACACTCTTCCCCGCATCCGGCCGAAATGTAACTCTTGAATGAACCCCTCGGTAGTCTCGGAATCGCCCTACCTTGGCAGCGTTGGTCCAAGCGGACCCGACACCTGACACGCACCACCGCCACGCGAGAAGGCGGTTGCAAAGACGCGCCAAGACGACGTTTCGGCAGTGTATGATGAAAAGGTGAGGGGGGTCGAAAAATCATCACCAGCGCAAGGAAGACGGTGTTCCTCAAAGGGCAGGCCCACTCACGACACCATATATGGCAAAGATCAGCAAGACCGAACACGACAGCCGATTTCTTAGCCTTTGTGCTCTATTTGCCAAGAGAACAGACAAAGCAGGTGTTTAGAAATGTGTTTCTTGGTTCGGGATCGGTGTGGTATTCATGCCGAAACACCGACCCCAATTCGGGGCCAGCCATCTATATTATCAGCAGACATAAGGCAAGGGGAAAATTTCGCCATTCAGAATCTTCACCAACGCGGTCCGCGCTACGCTTCCCATTTTTTCCCTCCTGAACCACAGATGTCGAAGCTTAGCGCGTCGTTGTCGAAGCTTCTTTCGCTTGGTGCTTCGCCACCACCCCTGGTTTGGCATTGTGGCGCCGTCCTCTTCGGACGTAACCCTTACCCGTGAACAGGTGCGGGAACAGAGGCGGTTGCGTGTTCGTGCCCTGCACTTCCATCCATGTAGACGTCATGCCCTTACCCCGTTCAGCTGATGTCTATTTTTCTGGAGGCTCCGATATTCGAGTGCCATAGCGACGTCGCTTTGTCGGACCTGGCTACCTCGCTTCCGCGGCAGGTTGTAACGAGCATAGGTGCCGTGGGCAAATCGTGAGGAATCGTCTCGTATGCACATGTTAATAGGCACTTCTGTGGGTTGTGTCCAGTGGAAGAACATGGCATTGCGGGTACAAAAATAGCCCGAGGTTGATGGTCCGCAGTCCGTCCCATAAGGACCAGGACACCGACGTTTGCACTTCATACCCGAAGACTCCCCGTTCGTTGTCGTTGGTCGTGCTCTTGCCCCGCCGTTCTTGTGTGGCAGCTGTCCCTGTTGATTTTTGCGCAGATACTCGTCCATATGCTGGTAGAGGCGAGTTTTGTCGCAAACTCGACGAGCTACAAAATACGAGCGCTTCATGTTGTTGTCAGGTGGGTCGTACGGGGGCTAGATAAGCCTCGAATGTACTCTCTCTCTCTCCTATCACAGCGCCTCCAGACGTGTTGGGATGTCCATAGCGGATTTGTGCCCGTCTCTGTGCGCTGACCCACCACATGTACGGCAACGCTGTAGCTGCTAAGGATGGCCAAACATTGCTTGCAGCTGGAGGCTTCGATGCCGATACCGACTCTTTCGGCCGTGCCGACCGTTCACCCTGACGTTGTTTGCCTTGCAGCTTGGCTGTTTCGATGCCGGCTTCCATCCTAATTCCCAAGCTGTTCGCGACTGCAGCTGCCCCCCCCCCGTCGGTCACGGTGACAATGCTCCATGCGTGGGAAAAGGTGAGGAAACGTCCGTTGGTTCAGACAACACGCTAGGATGAAATTTGTTCAAGCCGTTTAAACAGTGTTAAATAGACCGAAGGAATGCATCAACGCTTCACCTAGAAGACGGTGTAAACCCACGGTTATATCGCTGTTCCAGCCGCTTTTCCAGCCGCGTTTCCACCGAATGCAAGGCGGTTCAGATGTTTGTACCGGGCACAAGAGCTGGTTGGACAGCAGTTCATCCTACCACGCATTCTCGTGTCATAAACAACCGGTGTACATCGTGGTGCGCATTAGTTTCAAGAAGTGTACCCATCCGAGGAAAGGACAAACAACGCCCTGGTTTGTCGTGTTCGCCCAAACGTCAATCTCTGCAGATTGTCCCATCCACGAACCAAGAAGTTCTAACAGCCCAAGACATGACCAATTCCAAGGCCAACTCCCAAACGAGGTATGCCTTCATCTGTGGTGGTGCTTGGTGGAAACCGCCAGTCGTGTGGGAAGCCAGGCCCTGTCGTGCTCTGTCTCATGGTGGTGGCGTTGCCCACTTCCCAGTACCCATTGCACCTCACGTAAGGTGCCTTCTGTTTTGCTCTTTCTTCCAATGGTCCAACGGTGCGTACTCCACCAAGGCTAAAGTTATTGGAGGAAGATTTTGAATGTAAAAGACACAAGACAAGGCTTGATGAGACAACAAAACAACATCGCGTTCAGCACCAACTCCACTGCGCCCTCTTACGGGCAGGTGGCTGCGGGAGCCGAACACGGTGATGGCAGTTTTTCGTCTGATTTCCTCGGCGGTGTTGAGGAGCACATTGCGAGTGCCGCCGTCATTCCGAGGGGGTCGACGGTACTCCACGGGTGGGGCTGTTGATCGTGGAACGTGAGTACGACGGCAGTCAAGCCCTGGCAGGAGGTCTGGTCGTAGAAGAAGACGAATAGGGTGACACGACCTGCACATTTAAACACCAAACAGGCAGAGGCTGCTTGCCGGACCTCAGCAGAATACTGTACCTTTTCACCAACATGGCTACAACAAACCCAAATTAGTAGCATTCCGAGTGATGACGTACGGAATGAATACGCCTGGAGGCCCTTCCAGCGCGAGTTTGCTATTGTGATCTCGGTTCGGATGATGCACCAAACATTTGGCGAGACTTCCGGCTGGAGCCCACCGTGATGATTCTCTGCGAGATACACCCAATGGCAGCGTAGTTGAGCAGTTCCGGTCGGACGAGCGCGGGATAGTTTGGAAACGCCTGCGGCAATATTGGGAGGGTTGGATAGTCCACCATGTGTTGTATGTAGCTTGCGGTGATGCCGCGCCACCCACAACGAAACAAGACGCGAAGATGTAAAGATGTTGCTCGCAGTTTGGGTCAGCTCTACGCCGCGGGTGCCTGCTTACGTGTTCACCTGGGGACTATTCAGAAGCCAGGAACCGCAGGGTCCAACCAACCGTGGCCGGACCTTTCCTACCAGTCTTGACTAATAGGCCATTCTCGATCTTACACCTTCTCTTCCTCCCGCGGATTTTTCTCCAAGGAACCTGGTGTGGTCCGGCCTCTGGCAAATGTTGCTCGATTTGGTGTGCGTCGCGCTATCGGCAACGATTGGAATCGAAGACCAGCTGGAGAAAGCTCTAATCTCCACTACCGTGGCGGGCCTGCTTCTGGGGCTCCTCTTCCTTGGTGAGCAATCCAGCTTTTTTCAGGGCGCGTTCGACGTTCAGACAGACATGAGGGAATATGGCAATTTGCAGCGGTGGTAGAATATCGTACGTGATGCATTTTTTGTGGTGTGGTTGTTCCTCTGGCCCATCGTAAATGTTGAAGTGTTGTTGGCAAGAAGTTGCAACCTCTCACTTCTTTTTTGAACTTTTGAACGCCCTCCTCGAGATGTTGTGTCTCGAGCAGTGTATCGCTTTTTTTGTTCCTTTCGAAGTCCAACCACATGAGCCACTCTCCTATTCTATGGTAGCCCTTCAGGGACCCCGATCTGGGGAAATGTTCCTTGAAGAAAATACGGATAATTCTCACAATGGTGGGAATGCCGTCTTTCGATTACCCCCCGCTTGGAAAAATAGAGTACTTCAATGGGTCATGTCATCTCAATCAGGGTTCACTATCCGTTCCCTCATCGATGAGTAGTTGAATCGTAAAACATTGTGGTACCACCTACAGCTGACATCCGCACGCATACACCCACGTATTCCGGCGACATTTACAGATGCTGTTCTCTCCACAAGGGCGTCGTCGTTCAGCATATTGAACTTTAATGTGCTCTTCTCGATCGTGTTCGCGAGGATAGTGGTGACCGCGTTGCAGGTCGTCCTGGCATTCCACGGGGTGCGAAACGCGGCATCGTCCACTGCGTTGTACGGAACGTTGTTCGCCCTCTCCGTCGTCAAGATATTTGGAAGCCACAAGGTAAAATAGGCCCTTGCTCGAGGACACGTTGCATGTTGAATCGCATTCGGAACATTAGGTCTTCCGCTGAACTCGTTCGTGTCTAATTGTTGAAATCTACGCAGCACACGCCCGGACATTGGTTCCTTCCATAGTTCCTCCATCCTGTTACTTTTCCCTCGCTTGAACACCAGTATGAGAGCTAGCTCGCGGATGTCGGGGCCCACAGGGGCAGCTGAGTAGAATGCCTGCCACACCGTTGGTATGGATTTCCGGCCTGTGCCTTCATACATCCGTAGGCTGTATGGACAGCCATTTATTCATCGCTGTGCGAATCAAATCTTGTTTCCCCCCCTTCTCTGCCCCTGTGGCGCCGGTCGCTGTGCATTCGGTCCTTTGGCTGCTCCTGCCTCTCCTGCAGAATGAACTGATGCCCTGTATGGACGCGGTGAATCAAAGATACATGTCCCAGGTACGCCATCGAGTCGGGGTCTGTAGGAGCCGCATCTGGCACGTAGCCATATGATTCCCCGCTATCGATCTGTCCTTTACGCCGTGTATGGTCCTCCCATCTACGGCAGGGTTGTTGAAGTCGTCGACCGAAAAAAACATGTCTGTTGAGCTCATTCGAATTATCATGACGTTCAGATTGGGGTACGCAGGAACGTATTGCCCACATGATACGGGGACCCAGAATGAGGCAAGGAGTTGGGTTCTATCACATTGTCCAACATGTGTTAACGTAGAGCGTCTTAGCGTGCCAGAAACATCGTAGCCCACAGAGAGAAGAAGCACACAAAAGGATTCTAATGGTTTACCAGCGTCAGGAGCTGCGAATTGTTTGTGTCGTTTCCCACCCACCCAATCTTCTTTCGTTCTATACTGTGCTTCCTTGTGGTTCTATGCATAGACGAACAAGATACAAGGATTTCAACCAACACCGTAAACGTAGCGGACGAGGCGTGAACCAATCCCAGATAGGACCACAAGCCTCGATTGGGCAATCGTGGACCCCCGACCCCCATGAAATCTCATTTTGACGGTTCAGACTTCAGACACGTCGTTTCCCACCCACCCAATCTTCTTTCGTTCTATACTATGCTTCCTTGTGGTTCTATGCATAGACGAACAAGATACAAGGATTTCAACCAACACCGTAAACGTAGCGGACGAGGCGTGAACCAATCCCAGATAGGACCACAAGCCTCGATTGGGCAATCGTGGACCCCCGACCCCCATGAAATCTCATTTTGACGGTTCAGACATTGATGTTTGGATTCAGAGCAGTCGGCGAAATACTGGTGATGCCTAGGCCTTGAAACAACTCGCTTATCAAAAGCCTGAGAGGGTCAGTCCAAACCCCTCTAGAGCAGCGTGTGCGCACCGTCGGGTGCACTTCAAGCTCAGCCCGAGAAATGCGGTTGTCGGCAGTACAGCGGGGGTGCAGGCAGCGCGCGAAGTATTGTGCGATAATGTTTTCTTTTGCGGCACGGTTCAGCCAATACCGAAGTCATGGAGTCTGTGGCATGTGCACCGCCATCGCGGCCGATCGGTTTTGATTCGAGCTTCCTTGAAAGCTCCTCTGCTTCCCTCCCTCCACTTATACTGGTTGCGTGCTCGCCGTTCTTCAATGTTTGGATTTTGTGCCCCAGATATCGATGGCCAAAATGTACCGACCGCCGCCCAAGGTGGACCACAGCCACCAACACGTCAGCTCCTCGACCATCGACCTTTGCATTTTGCGCAACACGGCTGCGGTAAAGATTCAGACCCTGGTGCGAATGTACCAAGCCCATCAGAGGTATGAATAAAGCTATATGCACGTCGAGTGCATCAAAGAGAACTGAGATTCCGTCATCCACGGGAAGATTTTCATTTTCCATCACATAAACGTCTTGTTGCTGTCGTCAGAATTCCGGTGTGGCCACGACAACAACAACATCCGTATGTTTACAGTATTGGCATGGGTAGTACTGCTCGTGGAATTGGGAAGGTCGATCAGGGAGTGCAGAACCCCACGACGAACGAGTATGAATGATAAAATTGTCACCCTTCCTTCCGGGTACTAATGATGAAATGCATGTGCTCGCCGTCACTGACGTGTGCTGATTCACCAACAACTACTGGGGCTGCCGCCGCGAAGGGCTGTTCGGCGCCAAGAAGTGGTCGTATGGCAGTGTCCTCGCGTCAAAAGCATGCGAAGGCGACTGACGTTTCGGGCCTACGCATGCCTCATCGTTTTCACCGCGTCGGTTGCATGGATCAACCTCTGCTACGTGGTCATGTACGATGGTCCTGCTATACGGTGCGGGGACTGCCACAATTTCCAATAGTGGTAACGTGTTTGTGTAGTGCCGCTCGCAGGCCTGACGCGCACGAGAAGTCGAAAAGCTCCTCAGGCTCCCTCTACGCGTCCGCCATTTTTTCAAGTCGGAACTGTCTTCGGCTCTGAACTTTCCGAGCGGACGCTCGACGGGTCGTTCTCACTGTCGTCAGCAGCCTTGCTCGGTTTTCTCCGACCACAATGATTCACTCTTTTTTGACAACAACGAGTTTGCTTGCCACATCTCTCCCTTGCCCAAAATGTTCCGGGTTTGGTTGATTTCCAGGTTCGCGCCACATGTTTTTTTTTCAAGTAGGCACTGAGTGGACTGTGTCAGCGGCGAGAGTAGCGAGGAGGGGTCTGGATGACTAAACGCACTTCTCCCTACAATTCGCCAAGGTTTCATCTCTTATCGACAAGGCACCATTGCCACAATCTATTGCCTCCTCCTGCGCTCGATTCTCCGTGCAGGAACTGGATTGCAGCGACCGGAATTACTGTTTTGGTCGACATTGTGCTCAGGAAGCCCCTGTCAGTGATGGTGGTGGCCACAGTCAATACCATTCGTGATAGTGCTCGTGTCCCGGGAACGGTGTATATTGGCAAGGGCCGATCTCAGAGACCGATTGGGAAGTTTTAGCTCATGCAATTAGTTGGTGATTGATTTCAATGCCTTCTTTCCTCTTCAAGACTAATGTGCACATGCATGTAGGGTGTTGGGGCGGAGGATACACGCATAGTGGTCCGAAAACCGGCAGTAGTAGAAATCATTTTTGCATAAAAGCATAGTGTACAATCACGGAAGCGCTACGAATGTACTATATCACTAGGGGCTCGTCGGGGCGTGCTACAACTGAACACAAAGTTCTGTAAGGAGAGTATTTTTGGGGGATGACTGGGGATGTTTTTTCGTCGATGCCCTTGTCGTCCCGTCCGTTGGAGGACGATACAATGTATGCCGGCAAAAAGCATGTTCTCGGTATCAAGAGTGTTGAGAAACCAATCCAGTGATGGTGAAAAACCGGGTACACAATACATTCCGGGTACTCCAATATAAACAGTATGGCAGTTCGAACTGTTTCAATAAACCTCGGTTTGCTTTGTCTACACCTTTGCCTACGCCTTAAACCAAACTGTCCTTGTTTCAATATTGTGTTTCAGTTTGTGCGGCATTTAGGATTTCTCCATGCGTCTCCCTCCTTCAACCTCAGCGAAGATTTTTGTTAGCGACGTTGTTGGGGTTTGCAAGTACTTATCTTGTCGTTCCAGTTTTGATACTTTGCTCCCTCCACATATAACAAATTTCGTCACTTGATCGATACGGTCGCTAGAGGTTTCACCGCTCCACGAAAACAAACAAATGTGTCCGTATTTCTGTCTGTTTGTCAGTCAGCCCTGATCACTTTCAGTCGGAAGTTTCGAATCGAGCAGATTTTCTCCCGAACTCCAGAGGCGCTAGAACGCATCTCATCCATAATCCTGTACCTCTCTACACGCAATCACCAAATTTGGCTGATTGGTGCCTCTTGCATTATCATGTGCCTGTGTCCGTGTTCGCCTTCTCGATCATAAACGTTTCTTGTCTGCTCATCAACTTGAAGCTCCGCCCAATCTGGAACAGGTCAACATCCTCTCCGAGGCCGGGACGGTTACCACGCAATTGAAGCTTTCAAGTGACGCAGGACGACGGCGTTCGGTTAATCAGTGTTGTCCCTGTCGGGGATGAAACCCGTATTCACTTTCACGAAGTAGTATAAACAATGTAAATATGCCTGATGAGGTCACGACGTAAAAATTGTAGTCAATGATGCCGGCAATGTTTGTTTGTCATGCACTTTTCGTCGTCGACCACAAAGCTCGCAAAGAACGCAACTGGACGTCCATTTCATGGTTCGGATTCAGGACCATTGGACACAGGGGGTGCGCAATACGACGAGAACGAACGACTTGATATTGTTCTTCCGTCCCGAGACGTAGTTTGTCCGATTAGGGACGTCGAGATAGAACCTGGTCGTTCTCACCGAAATGAAACAACTCCAACCCCGGCTGGTGTGTCCAGAAAGTTGTACCAAAAGGTGTCAAGACCCACATGCATCAGTCTCCCACACTACTGACAGTTTCGCTAAACCGCCCATGGGACACCATGGGTCACCAATGGGCCACACATGGACCGCCTATGGGCACTGGTTGGGCCGCCCATGGGCGACTACCCATGGGTGGCCCATGAAGTGCCCACCGTGGGCACATCAACCTAGAACTTAGCCACCAACGCCAACCTAGCACGCATCGTGTTGGCTTGCGGTTAGAGTTAGGGTTTGCATTAGGACTGTTAGCCGCCCCGGTGGTCTAGTGGTATCCTCGAAAACCGCTGCCGCAAAGGTCGTGTGTTCATATCCCCATATGGGGTAAAAAAATTACACTATTTCCTGCTGAAAGCGAGATATAGCTGAAAAAGCTCTCGTGAGAACCAAACTTCGACGTTAGCACCTTCGACGAGGGAAAGAGCCTTCTCGCGACAAAAATGAAGTTCAGCAGGCACCGCAAGAGGAAGGTGGGGCACGAAAATGAATGAAACGAAGAAAAACAAGCCCCCGTCCTGTGTGACCCTGGATGGTTGTAGTTGAACGAAAAACACACTGAAAGTGTCGTACTTCTCAATACACTCAATAGTGTAGTACACATCTCATAACGAAAAAGAAGTGGGGGGACTGTCGCCATAATAAATAGGACGAAAACACACTGCCCGTTCCAATCAATGCAGATAAACTGTTGTTTAGGAGTACACTGACTGGTGGTTCGGTTAAAATGCTCTCACTGGCCGCCCATGGGCTTCCCATGGGTATTTTCTACGGCCCCTTACTGTATCCATCCGGATAGTGGGCCCTTCCCAGTTGGTACACCGTTGATGCTATGTGAAGGGTCTCAGCGAAAAACAAATCCGGACACATAGCCCCCCCGCCCCCCTCCCGGAGGGGGGAGAATTCGACAAATTACCACGAATCGTCAAAAAGTTACCATGAGGTTAAACGGATTGCAAACATGTTTCGCTCTCCTTGCCCCTTCCGCATCTGCTCGTCAGAAGCCGGCCCACGCTCACCCAGCCGTGCTACGGGAACATACGTACGGTGGTAGCGCCTTGCAGCGCCATAGCTACAAAAATCCCAACATCGACCAAAGCTCGACATGAGCGAAGCAGCTCGCCGCTAACCACCATCCAACACAACCACCTGCCTTGCAAAAAAATTGCCGTTGCCGCTTTTAGCAGGGCACAACAGGGAACATAGTTTCGCAATTTATTTGTAGCCTTTGTTTTTAGGGTTAAGTTTGACTTTATCAATTTACCCCGCTTACTCATGGGGACCCCTGCTTGAGAGTTTTCCCCCGGGGTCTCGCTACGTTTTTTGCGAGAGAGAGCTTAGGGTTAGGGTTAGGGTTAGAGACCCGGACGCCAAAGCGCCGACGCCTCCGGGGAAAACCCGGGGATACATGGGGGCATGCCCCCCCCCCCCCCCACGGACCCCGATTTTCGATTAGTAGGCCTATGTGTGTGTTGTAATGTTTTTCGCGCATACCCTTGGCTGTGTGAAGATTTATCAAGTACGAATGAATCCGGTGGCTCTGCCGACAGTAGGTACCAACCGTGGGCGGAAAGGGATGATGGCAGGAAACCGGTGGCCGATAGCTGCTATGGTTGACCGGTGCATGTTTGCCTGAGGTATTCTGCACACTATTATATACTCGACGTATTTTACTTCGAAGTACAACACAATAGTCTAGGTGACTTCAGAGCCTTGCTCCATGGTGATCTCTAAGATGACTGAGACATGAGTACATATACATATGTACGTATGTACAATAATAGTACGCAGGTGAGCTAAGGGCGCGTTCATGATATATCTATCCTTCTCGAGTGCGCGCAACACGATTACAACCCGACGCCTACACATGCCGTTGTTTTCTCCCCTGGATTCCCTCTGGCAGAAGCTGGATGACATCTGTCGGAATCACGGTGCTGGTCGATATTTTACTTAGGAAACCTCTGTCAGTGTTGGCGGTGGCTACTTTTTACTTCATTCGCGACGCTGTTAGTGTCCCGGCATCGGGCTACGTTATAGCAACAGTCGCCCTCAGAGACCGACTTGAAGGTCTTCACAAACGCATGAGGCGGAAATCTCCCTACTCCTTCAAGTCCTACAGTGATGCAAATCGATTCTTGCTCACGTCCGATCTCTTCCTTCTTTGTTTCTCTGCAACCGGGTGAGGGCCTACGTCAACGAGGCACTTGGGAAAACAAGATTCACCTGACCATCCATGCGGATAGAAAACTAAATAATTCGCTCTCTTGCGGAACGGAGGACGGATGCAATGTGTAATCCTAACGATGTATACTATTCAGGGAATGTAGTGTTGGGGCCGGGGGGGGATGAATGCAATCTCACGACGGTAAGATCACCGACGAGAAGTACTTAGATATTCGGTTCGGCAACTTCGTGTTCTACAACAGACCACCAGCCTAGTGTAGGCACTTGAAATATCTGGATGTTTCTACGTGTAGAAAAAATCGATTTCGGGGAATAACTGGGGTAACGTGGTTAGCCGCAGGCTGTTTCGTCTTATACGCGGGAGCACAGCGAAAAGACGTTGGTTCGAACGAGTGTATTGTACGCGTTCCAAGGACGGGTGGGAAATGTCTGTTCTGGGGAGTTGGGCTATACCTTGCGGAGGAGCAAACACCGCGGAAGGACCGGGGGCTCAACCTCCAACCTCGGACCGAGTAGGTCAATATCATTGTAGCTGAGGTTCATGGTTGAGATAGTGAATGCTGGGCGAGAAGCACCGTAATTCCACTGTCTCGTGCTTAAAGCGTTCTGTGTGGCTTGTCACGCGCAAGGCGTTCCCGACTGGTCTTTGTGGCAAGTCGTTGTCGGTTTCCACTCAAGCCGTTTTGACATGTACTCGGTGGATGAATGTATATTGGTGGAGCCATCGCCGTGTTTGCAAGAGCAAGTTTGTGAATGCTGCCCGATGCTGACTACTTTTCATTGAAACCGTCGATTTTGCCAGAGGCGTGTTCGTTCCTGTTTATTGGGATAACTTACTTTGGAAAATATCCTTTGGAGTGATCACTCTCTCGTAGAATTCACGAGCAAGGAGGAGGCACACTGGGCGGCGTAAAGCAGGAGAGCAACACAGCAGTAGGTGAACCGAGAGAGACGGATATTCTACTGAGGATTGGCCAGGTTTGGAGGCCAAGAAGTTGTGATATTTTGCGTTCTTGCATTATCTTCTTTGAGCCAAGAGGGCGGGTCCTAATGTAGACTGGAAGGACGCTTCACCGACGCCATCAACGGCGAACGCGGGAGGTGGGGCTGAGCCACCGAATCGATGGCGAGTGCAAGCCGAGACAAACTTTTTTTAATGCGTGATGGCATGGCACGGCGAAGCCATACTTTTCGTTCTTGTAGGTCAAGTCACACAAAAAACTAGGCGGCGGCGGAAGATGGAGCAAAAGGCGTATAAAATGCCGATCAATGGATCCGGCAATACCCCAGCTAAGACGCCGAGACTCGACGACATATCAGCATCGGAAAGCATACCTGGTACAGATTACCGTGGTCGGGTTGAGGTTGACACTGAAGACCAAAGCGTCTATTTGTGAGCGCTGGATTGTGCCGCAATGGGATATTTCCCGCGTGGATTTATTCGAGTGTCGCGTTCGTCACCTCCAGCATGAGCTACGGGGATTTGCCAAAACGTGTAGAAGGAGGCCCAGGTTGCTACTCCCGTGGCCACGGCTCTTTAGAACGATGGACTCTTCGGGCTTGGCCTTCCTCTGCGCAAAGGCTCTCCATCACGACACTGCACTCGCACCATCCATTATCCACGGATATTTTCAAGAGCACAATTTATGTCCATCTGGTGGCAGCAAAGCAGCCGTTCTCCATCGTTTTCATCTCCACTTCGGCACCTACTTTGATATTAGGTAAACAAAGGATCAAACCAAGAATAGCTCGAACGGCTTCTCGTCCCCTGTACGTCCCTCTCTCCCTTCGGTGCACCACGCACTATCTCGACCCGAAGAAATAATATCGAATGCATCAGGGGGGGGAAAGAGGCGTTTAGCTTGTGGTCCCCGGGCGGGCCATCACCCTAATAGTCACCGAAACCCAACGCTACGGGCCGATCCATTGGAAACATTAGAAACGATCGAGGTCCGGGCGCCGTCATGGGGACAGGATATCGCTCAAAGACTCCTCGCCCTGCCCGTCTCCGCCCGCCTCAGGCGACCCATCATGCCCGGCACCCGCACCACCATGGCCAGTCGCGACCGGCGTCGCTATGCCCGGCGAATATCGGGCCAACGCCCCTCCGTCGTCGTCTTCGTCTGAAGACCCAAGGCTCATCGCGACGCTCATGTCTTCCGGGGACCGTGGCGCCAAAGAAGTCCCCCCTCCGCTGTTGCCCATCAGCCGATAGCCTGGAGTCCCTGATCCGGCCCCGCCTCCCGCGGCTCCCCCGCCGCCTCCGCCTGTTCCTGGTGAAACCCCGTTGCGGACCCTGCCGGGTCTACGAGGGGTCGGGGTGGGGAAAGTGCCCGCTGCTGCTCTTGTTGCACCACGAACGCTACCACCAAGGCCGCTGTTGTTGGCGTTGAACAGCTGACTGCCGCCCGCTCCGCTACCGTCGTGGTGAGATGACCCTGTCGCCGCCCTCGGCGTGAAGAGGGGCCGTCCGCTGCCCCCGTCAAGGGAGACGTCGTCGTGGCTGTTGTTGGCGTTGTGGGGCTGAGGTAGGGCGGAAGACTCGGCGGCTTGGTGTTGCCGGGTTTCCATTATGCTTCGGATTTCTCTCAGAACCGCCAGTGCTGCCTCACGCGACTGTTGTGGTGTCGTCGTGCGTGCGACGTGGGTGCAGAGGAACGGTGGGCGTGACGATAAATAAGTCTAGCAGAAAATGGGCACCACTATCGCTGGAAATCGCGAAAAGGCCAAGGCTGTGAAAACAAGCGAAAGTCACAGGGACAACCCTACATTACGATTTGGGGGGGCGTGGGTATGAATGCGTAGCGAACAGGATCAGAAGAACATAGAGAGAAATCCATCCTGCACAGCAGTTACTCCAATAAACATGTTGTGAAAAGTGCGAGATGGACCGCCGCGTGTCCATGGGTTCTTCTGGAGGTGGTTGGATGCCTTGCCAATGCGCGTCTGGATATACTGAACAAGAGCAAACAAAAATGGAGCAGGGTAAAAGAGCAGATCGGCGTGCGGGAACCCTGGCGTTGTCCCTTCCATCACAAGAAACGTCCCAAAAAATACCCGCACAATAAGAGCGGTACCAACCATCAACATGCCAACAGATGACCCCCGGCAACAACAACGACGTAAACGTTCAAAATCGCAAAACCTGTGGCAACAAGCAACATCAGCAGGAAGCAGCAGCGGCGGCGGCGCAGGAAGCAGCAATAACTCCAACACCACCACCAGCCGAAGCAGCATGCTATCAACGGTTCACGATACCAAGAGAAAACGTTGAGAGTGGAAACTCACCGTTCCCGTGTAGTCCAGGAGACCGTTCGCCATCTTGGATGCCCTGGTGTAGTCGCCCTTGTTCTTGTAGTAGAGACACAGGAAATGCATCCCTTCTTCGGCAGACGAGTTCTGCGAGGGAGTCAGGGGGGACGACAGTACGCAAGACCAAACCAGAGACAACAGATGCCGTGGGTTAGGCACCTTGCAGAAGACCTGTTCAAACTAAGCAGAGCGGACGTCTCGCTTACGGTCGTGTCGGATTGCGTTCGCCCCTGCCATGCACCAAAACATCGTTCAACTTAAGGACCGTACGGGTCTCCACGCGGAATTCAGTCCCGACACCTTCTCGCTGGCGAAGGCCCCCTGGTAGATTCAGGACGAGCGTCACGTTCGTGATGCTTATGAAATAGTGGTCAGCGAAAACCACGGAGGCAGAAAGTCATCAAGCGGCCCGGGCGTGACTAAATAGGCAACCTGATGAACAGTACCTGGAATGGCCTAGGGGAACGTCTCTCGCGACTGCAGCGAACGAGCATACCATGCCAAGCCCCCAACCTTCGAAGGAAATTATCAACTCAATCCCTCTTGAAAAACTATCTAGGGTTGGGCCGCACAAAGAACATCTAACCTTTCTGTGTTTTGTTTACAGAATGAAAGTTTCTTCAGCACACGCAAGCTTTCGAATCACGACCAAGACTCTCGATTCTGCAAGCCGAGAATGGTCTTCCCTTCAACGCGCACTTCGCGACCTACCGACAGTGGGAGCTAAACCTTGCATCGTAAGGTGATGTCGCGGACAGGGATCTTCCGAAGGAGCAACCCGAGCGCAGCATGTACTTCACCCACCACGTCTTGAACGCAAGCTCGAACATCGATCCGCCAAACCAACAGCTACGGCAAATCGAAGCATAGCTACTCACGTCGCCATCTGCCGATCTGTTGGCCAGCATGGTCTCGTAGCACTTGGCGGCCGAGTCCTTCCGGCCCGCACCGTCGTACAGCTTGGCGAGCTGTGCGAGGGCGATACCCTCTCGGTCATCGTTCGCCATAGCCTGGTAACGAATCCACAAAGAAAATCAAACGTAACGGAAGCCAGACACTCAGTCGTTGCTCCCCTCTCATCCACCCAGTTGTTTCATTCGAACCTCTCTTACGCACACACACATTCTCTCTCTCTCTCTCTCTCTCTCTCTCTCTCTCTCTCTCTCTCTCTCTCTCTCTCTCTCTCTCTTCTCCCTCTCTCTCCTTCTATGTATTTCTCTTGCTCTCTTTGCATCTTCACGTTATGAATACTAGACGATGTTGTCGCTCTCATCTGGCAATGGCAAGAACAACCTCACGCACCCTTTCGTAGGTGCTGATGGCTTCGGCGCTCTTGCCGAGCTTCTCGAGGCACTGCCCCATTGCGATCCACATTCGGGCGTCGTATGGCCTGGGTGAGGTGGCGGATGATGATCACCGATATTTGGCACAGTTGGGCGTTGTTGTTGAGACAGCTAGAATTTTGGGCCAGACCTAGGTGTTGTCGTCCCTAAACATCATGACCAGCTCTGCCTGACAACTCCACTACACATGCAAGCATGTGTTCGCAGAGCTGGCGTGCCGAATCGGAGTCGAAGATCACTGAATAAATCTTTCAGGGGCGCAGGGTATTCCAGAATGGAATGGGCCTATTCAGGATACATATCAATCCGTCCAATGTGCGATATTGTGTGTAGGGAGAGGGGGAAAACCGTGGCCAGGATGCGCTTGCTGTTTTAAAATTGATGCTGTTAAGGTGGCATCATACCGTCTGGATCGTCGCCTGCTCAAAAACAGAAAATAATAATCAAGCGTAACACAACACTTGCGTGGCAGACAGACTCGCTACGCTGTAGTAGAACCAAAAGAACCGCTCACAGCTCGACGCACTTGGAATTATCAACAACAGCAACAACAACAACAACAACAACAACAACAACAACAACAACAACAACAACAACAAACATGAAGACGAAGACGATGACGATGACGACGAGCACACCTGAGTGCCGTAGCCCTTTTGTAGTAGTAGATAGCGTAGAGGTGCATGTGGAGGATCTCGTACGCCTGCCCTAGGCCGTACCATGCCCGGTAGTCCTTTGGGTTGATGTCTGAAGACGAAGACAACAAACAAATCAAGCAAAGTGATGAATTCGGCAACGACATGGGGGGTTTACAAGGGAACACAATATCTAGGGAGGCACTCAGTGTCTCAAGAATCTTGGTGCCTTCCCCGTGGAAGAGGCTAACACAGAGAATCGCTCATCACACTCCCCACACCGTGCATAGCGGTAACAGAAATAGAGGGCTTCTTAGAGCAGCAACAACAACCGCCCTGGGGAACTTCATGGCCAACACACAAACAACCACGACGGTGATGACGACGACAACAGCAGCTCACCTACGGCCTGACGGTAGGATTCGACGGCAGCCCCAGAGTTCTTGAGCTCTATGAACTCGTGCCCCATGAGCGTCCAGGCCGAAAGGCATCGTCGGTCCAGTCGGAGAGCCTTGAGGAAATACGTCACCGCCTTCTCGTGTTGCCCCTTGAGACTGTAGTAGTTCCCTTGGTTTCCGGCAAACGAACAGAGACACAGAGTAACATCGTGTAGATTTCATGTGCGAGGGTCGAGATCACTCCTAAAAGTCTTGGGGGAGGAAAGGGTCATTGGCCGCCTGTTCGTGCCACGCCGGCAGAGGCATATATACGTAGCACTTCCTGGTTCGTACCCACACGACTTGTGCAACAAGTACCGCACACCGCACAAGATAACACACCCACACAAGGCAGCCCTCCCGCCGCACACACAATACAACACCACACCTGGTGGCAATTCATATAATAAAATGAACCCAACGCGTACGGGCGACGAAAGAAACCACACAGACCAAGCAAATCACGCGGTCCAGTTTTTTTACAAGCCAAAAATGTTGCAACCAGCGCGTGTTTTCTTGTGAGTACAGTAGGTGCGTTGGGGGAAACGACCTCGCATTGTCCCCGGCAAAAAAGGCCAGCATCGTTGTTAGGAACTGGCGTGGTTAGAGGGCTTCAGCCTTGAGAGTCGCGTAGCGCAACACACCCATCAAGGACGAGGTTGACACCTTGGAGGAGGGCAGGAAAACCCGTGAGAGTTTCAACTTGTTCCCCCGCTTTTTCGTCTACGCAACGACGCCAAGCCAACATTGCGTCATTGGCAACCGCAGTCACAACACGTTGCTTAGGCAACCGCAGTCACAATACGTTGCTTAGGCAACCGCAGTCACAACACGTTGCTTAGGCAACCGCAGTCACAACACGTTGCTTAGGCTCACCTATGATGCAGTTCGTCTCTGGACGTAGCGGCGCGCTCTTGTTGGTGGTGTGGGCGAGGAAGGACAGCTCTGCCTTGCACTCTTTCACGTACCTGGAGTGGTCAAACCAGGCACACACGAGTGTTCAGAACAAAAGCAAGACTGCACACAATCAGCGCCAATCGAAATACACGGACCCAACGAAGCATGACGGGAAGCCAACATAAAAAAACAGCGGCAGTCAGCGAACGAAAGAAGATGAGAACCCTGTACATGTAAGAGAAACTGCTCCAACACGCCCCAGACGGGCTACAAGTGCAGGGGTGGGTATCTGGCGCAATATCGTGCCACCAAGCCGCCGCCCGCGAATATACTTACGAAAACAACCGAGAGAGCCAAGCCTAGGGGTGACGATTGCAAAACATGCATGCGAGAACAAAAAGGGGTAGAAACGGGTCGTCGGGACCCTCAATTCAATGGTCGAGGCTTGTCAGAGATCATAGGACCGTTGGACCCGTTGCTGGCGAGTAACACTCACAGGATATTGGAAAACACGTCGAGTCCCTCCATCCGCAGGGGATCCCGCCTTCGAAGCTCCTTGAAGTCATCGTGGCCCTGGTCGAAATCTGGCATGTAATCGAAAACAACACCGAGGCATGCAATAAGGACGTCGACGTCCAAACACAACACGCAATCATCATGGCAGAAACCAGACCAATAGCATGATTGACCCACAAACAGCCAGCGTGCCGCTTGTCGAGCTGTAAAGGGAGGCGTACGGAGATAAGAGTACAGCTCACAGGTGCAACACGCATTCTGAGGGGTGCAAGTGTCTCGCCAACACACGAAATCATTCGACTCCCCTTTTTGCCGGGGTTTGCCCGTGGATACACGAGACAGACAATGCTATTCGCCCGCCAAGCGCAGCACCAGGGTAAGGGCTGCCTTAACGTAAACCCTCAAAGGTGGAAAATATTCACGGTTCCTGGGTGAATCATCTTCCTAGTCCAGGTAAGGGAGGCGACGCTTCACCTTTGCTGCAACAGCATGGACACCAAGCAGATCTCCTCTCTATGGAGTTGCCCAGCCACAGAGCAAGAGGGGGGACCAGCACGGAAACTACCCCAACCGATACAACGCCCTATGGCCCAACCCGACAATAGCACAAGCCGACCAAAGAAATTCTGCAACACACTAGTAATTTGATCGGCTACCATTCACACCGCACCGCGACTCATGCAAAACGCGAGGGCAGAGTTACTAGCACTGAACTGCATGCAGCGGGACAAAAACTACAGTACGTGCATGACCGTTGTTCGCCTCACTCCTCAGGTGGTAGTGGGCGACCGCCGTCTGCGACAGGACGTAGGAGCTGCAAGGGAAAGACGGCTCCAAGTCGTCGAGGATGGCGAGCGCATCCTTGGAGAGGTGTTGCTCAACCAGAAGGTGTTGCAGAAAGAACTGAGGCCGCCATCGCCGTCGGGAAAAGAGGGGAAAGGGGGAAGCAAACCGAGCAGAGAGCAGACCCAAAAAAAAAGAGAGAGAGAGAGAGAGGAATCACAAACAAATGACCGGAAAATGTGCATACAACAACAACAAAACACATACAAGTATGTCGCAGCAAGCTGTCACAACACGCCACGCCTTCTTATCTTGGGGAATCAACTAGCCCGTGCTGATTCACCCTTTCCCTCATGCACGCCCAACAGTCCCCATGAAAAGCGTACCGACACGTGCTTTTGATCAGCAACATAGCAACATGACGGCCGGCGGTGATAACCGCGTGAAACGAGTCAGTGCGCCCAACACTATCAGCCGCAAAGAAGAAAACAAACATATATATCCAGGCCCCTAGCCAACGTAAAACAGAGTTAAATATTACCACATTCAGAAACATCACTCTCATAGCTCAAATATACGGGATGGATGGACGGCACAGCACAGACCTGATACATCCATTGGCAAGGCGGATCCGCCTCTAGCCGTTCGGGTACCTGATTCCGTCAGGCCAACGAAAACGAAAACGAACAAGGCGTGGGTGTGTGCTTGATTGAATATTGTCCTTGATCGAATACCGTACAGCACCATAGGGTAATCCCACGAACTTGGTCTTGGTTTCCTTGTCTTGCGGGACCAGAAACGTCCGTACCAGTAAGTGCCACGTGGATCACCACGACTGGCCATGCCTACATGGCGGAGACGTCAATAACAACAGCAGCAGCCCACCACCACCGCCACCACCAGCTATTCCAATGACAAAACCACCTACGGCATGCATATTAACGGCAACAAAAGCAACAGCAAAAAATACAACATGATGGTAAGAAATAAGACGCAAAAGACACAGAGAGAGAGACAGAGCATCCCACCGTGTCGGTCTCGAGACACAGGGATGCAAGGTCCAGCCAAGCGGACCAGTTGTACGGGAACAGCCGCAAAGACCGAGCCAAAACCTCCTGGGCTGTCGCAGTCGTCACCGCGGTCTTCTCGGTTGACGTCGTTCCTCCCCCTCCTCCTAGACAGCGGGACACACACAGACCAGCCGGTTCAAAGAAATTTGCGAGGAAACGAAACGGAATGCAGAGCCAAGGGGCCCCGCGGGTGCGACAAAGAACGGGCAAGTCCCGTGTTGGGATAAATAATTCTGGATTAAGAAGCGGCTTTGTGCCAATGCCGTGAGCAGGCTGTATCAGGCTAAACCGCCTCGATCAATACACCAAAGGCGGTAGAGGTGAAGGCATGGGCGAACCATTCCCGGCCGAAGGATGATGTGTTGGTAACCTGCTCATACAGATGGCATCATTCCAAAAAATGAAAAAAAAATGCCAAAACGAGATACAAAACGAGAAACTCCTGACGCTTCACCCCAGAAAACCATAAACCAACATTCTCACAACCGCACACACACACAAAATAAAACCCCACCCCCTTATGCATACCGGTCGCGTCACCCCTGCCGCCCGATGGAGCTCGTGCTCTCGGCGTCACGAAAGCTCCACCGCCACTCCCACCAAGAGAATTTGCACCGCCGCCACCACCGCTTGAGTGAGGCGTTGTAGGGGTTGGGGTATTTCCTCCCGTGCCCCCTGCACCCCCACGCCCTTCCTCTCGCAGGGCCTTGAGGACGGCGGCGTATCTGAGACAGTTGTGGTCAAGAAATGATTGATGGCCTTGAGTGGTCCATAGGGCGGGGTATGTGCTCGAAACTCTCAAACTACAAGCGAAAAGTACATCACGAGCATCTTGGAGCCAGACACAGCATCTTCTGCGCGAACACACGCGACCAGGGGATCCGTAAGAAAAAGGTTGTTACCTGTCTGCTGTCAATCCTGCGACACCCTACTCCCGAGAGTCATGTCAAGTCATGCCCGACCGACACCAACGCCAAGCCTAGTCTCACCACGGCAAGACCTCCACTGTCACGTCGAAGGGACGCTATCCCCGGCTTGTTCGCCGCCTTGTCGTGCACACCATTTCTGCTGCTACGTTACCCTCCAGAAAAAAAATCGTGTGGCGCGAACGCCTCCATTGACCCCGGGGATGGTAAGTTATTGTCCCCTGAATGTTGAAGACGCCTTCACGCGTGAACAAGCTTTTCTAGATAAAACAAAATTGTGCTTTACCGCGGGATTCATGGAAGGCTCCAAGGGGTTGAGCACCCCGTTCTTGCTCGACTACTGTGAGTGTAAGCACGATTGGAACGACTCCGATGTGCCAACAAGGCAACAAGGGGACTGTCTTCCTGCCCATCACAAAACGATACAACAATAATAACAACAACAACAACAACCGAACCAAATCATAACCAGATCTCACATGTATAGGCCGAAGGCATCGAGAGTCCCGGCCTGATCGCACTGCGACAGTTCTGCGTGGAGCGTCTTGAGGTGCGGGTTGACCAGTCTTCGCCGCTGAAGAGCGTCGGTCAGTTGCGACTCCTCCTGCCGACAAACGTGATCCATCACAACGCAATCAGAGCACAAAGGAGGTGGCTGTACCCCCACTCCCGCCCCCCTCGCAGAACAACAGTTCTTGGCACAGTAACGGTTGAAAAAAAAACGTTTCGAGAGGAAACTGCTGTATCTGGGACACACCCAAGCGAGAACTCGAGGTCGCTCGGATCACAGGCAAGATACCACTAGGGATTCGGACAAATACTTCTAGACAGTGGACGAGCACCGTGTTGGTAGCAGACCCTGTGAATAGCTTACAGATTTACGAGTGAGGAGGATATCTGTGGATTATAGGAATTGGTCGACTTTCCGTCATGTCCACCCGTCGCCGCAGCCGTGGCGGCCGCGGCGGCGGCCGACAACAACAAGAACGGCGTCGCAGCCGCCGCGGATGGGGAGGTGCAAGCCATGGCAGAGACAGGAGAAGGCGAGGCGGAAGTTATCGATGCGACGTTTGCCGTTGAAGATGCCGGGGGAGGAGACGTCGGAGGCGGAGGCGGTGCAAATAGCGCCATCGCCAACAACTTAGAGGCGACTCTCCAACAACTCCTGGCAGGTCAGCAGCATCAGCAGGCCATCCTGGCGCTACAGCAGCAGCAGCAGCAGCCGCCGCAACAGGCACAGCCGGCCGTCCTTCAACCCGCTGGTGGCCTACGCCCACCCCCACGGCTTCCGGCGCCAGCTGTCCCGGCTGCCGCCGTGCCAGCCGCTCCACCCAACCCAAAGAGCGCCGGTGTGAAGCAAACCGACAAGAGACTTTCCGAGCTATGGAACTCGACAGCAAGGCCCAAGGACTTCGTGCTACGCGGAGGCTACAACGTCGTCGGCCGCCCGATGGACAAGGCCCGCCTGCTGATGCTCAACAAGGATCGAGCACACATCATCGACCACTTTGCCGGCGTGGCTGTGGGGACGACGCCTTCGGGCAAGGGGGGGAACAAGTGCTCGACTTTCCAGTCCGACATCGAGGTGATTTGCTTTGCGGACTGGTCGGTGATGTGTGCTCGATCCTTGTCGAGCATCAGCAGGCGGGCCTTGTCCATCGGGCGTTGCGGCCTCCACGTAAAACAAGCCAAGTACACGAGAGGTAATCAAACACCCCGGGCATGCCACCATCGAGGAAAGAGGTGACCCGCTCGCTGCTGCTGCTGCTGCTGCTGCACGTCGCACCACAGACCAAATCGTACAACACGACTGTGCCCGTCAAGTTCTTCGGAACGTACACCCTTGGCCTGTTACTACCAGAAGCGCATGCGTTTATCTTTCGCATCACCGCAGCGATTCGACCACGTGAATGCCGCGAAGTCGCATCCGAAAGGGATCGCCCTTAGTTTCTGGACGGTCTCCTACTAACTAGTGCAGCACCCACGCGTTCAGGACCACCCCGATCAGTTGGAGGAGATTGATGGTGGTACTGCTCATCTCGCGGCATGCGGCCTCGCGTTTTAGTTCAGCCGAGAAGGCAAGGCGTAGTTCGCATCTCCAGAAAAATCTGAGTTCTTGGCAGTAGCCGGCCACCCACTGCGTCAAAGCTCACGTCTGGCAGGTAGTTCCTCTTGGCCTGGCGTTTGATCGCAGCGTAACAAGGGGCGCTCAACGACTCGCCGACCGCAAGCAAAGTTCTTGGTCTATCGCCCCACCTCCAAAATTCTAGATCGTCGTGATAGTCTCTTCCGAGCCCTATGAGTCGGTTCTGGTTCTTGTTCTGCGTCGAGTGGAGTCCGGTAAGTCTACACAAACCTCACCTCGCGCCGCCTTTCACCGGCAAGGAAGAGGGAGTACCACCCAAGGAACCGGGCTCGGGAGTAGAGGCCGCCCGGAACGGAGCCTGCCGCCGCTGCAGCAGGCCAGCTCTTGTTTCCGAAAGCCTGCGACGCCCTCTCGAATTCCCCTGGGCATCGGCGTGGTTTCGGGGAGCTCGTTACTTTCCAGTTTTCACATCACTGTTGTTGCTATGTCGATGGGTTGTTGTTTGCATCGTCCCCCTCTCGGCATTCACTCGGCATCACATACTCCGAGCCAAACAGCGTGCCCTTTACGATCCTAGCTGCTTGAAAACCAGGTTGCCGAACGCCCGCGGTTGTGCTTGCAAACGCGTCGGCGGGGCATTGGAACAGTCTTGTCTTGAGGCGAAAACGCTACAATCTTGCTGATTCATGTGCTTGTGTAAAAGTGTGTACTGCTGTGCAACAGCTGTCGCGTTCTCGGTATCGAGAAATTTTGAGAGGTGAGGCGGTCGTCCCCGCCACCGACCAGCTGAGTGCATGCACTTGTGCGTGTGTGTGCGTTGTTTGCTTTCCTTTCCTTGAGAGGCGAGTTAAAAGTAGTTCGTCTGTGCGTTGGATGGCTGTTTCGACAATCGGAATCAGGAAGCGAACAGTAACCCCCCATGTTTTTAGATAGCTACCACGGTGCTGAGAGGGACAGCCAACCCTGCTGCCACACATGCCACAGAGCGGGGCCATGAGAACAAAACATACCAGCCTGGTGTAAGAGATAATAACCTACCGTATGCAAAAGTGCATCCGGTGTGTGCCGGATATTGCCGCAGAATGAGTTGAGCACGACCTCGACCTCTTGGACAACGGCCACAACAAGTACATGTCATCACAAAAAAAGGCCAAAAGCAAGAAAACAGCAGTGCCAACAAGGAAAAGGCGAAGAAAAGGGGGGAAAGAACTGGGGCAACATGGGCATAGCTGCGATGTAAATAGCACAGGATGGTGCAAACTCGATTACATTTCAAAAAAACACTGGTTGGCAACCACAAGAGCGATCAATCAATCAACCTTCACACTTGGCCTTCTCACCGACATCCATCAGGGACTTCGCAAACGCTACGCGGCCCTGAAGCCGCAGATTCGCCCCCCCTTCCTGCTTCTGAGGGGTGGCTGGGTTTGGTTCCGCCGCGTACCGCAAGTCGTCGGGCGCCTCATCGTCAGGCAGACCGACCAGCTGCTCAGTAGCCCTGATTTTGCAACAAGACCATGGTGTTGTATATACAAGACAAATAAATAAAAAAAGTTGAAAAACTTGGAGTATAGTACAGGGCACATCAAGTTGTGGGAGAAATAAATGCGGATGGAGAACACCAGGAGAACAAAGGGGGGACAGGTCTCAAGCAGTACCACTATCCCATACGATAGATAGCCCTGAATTTAACTTCAAGCCAGGACAATGTTGTGCGGGCGGAAAAACACCCGAGATGTTCAAACACAACGTCGCCGCTTTGGTTATGCACACGTCCAACATGACGCATGGCCACCCAAACAACCGAGACGTGAATCACCACTAGCACACCCGCACCGTCCGTAAGGAACAGGGCATTCGTGCGTAAACAAAATAAAAAAAGACAGCAACACCGCGGAAGCAGCCGCAACAACATCACGACATCCCAACATCCCCGCCGCCATCAAGAATGACTCCGCATACCGGTACAATTGCAGTTGAAAACTGCAAAACTGCAACACAACACAGCCAAAAACTCACCATTTCGTGGCGAGCTTGAGGCCGTGGTTGGACAGCTCCTCCACTGCGCCCAGCAGAGCCCTGCGTATCTCCGCGGTTGGAGGCATCTGTAGAGTCACCGAAAGGTGGGAATGGAATCATCGACTGATACCGCTTGCTCCCCCGCCATGTGAGACGGATAGGGGAAGCGGTGAGGTGGGCAATAAGCACCGACCCAATCACAAACCGAGGAATTAGCAGTCAGCACACAATACACTCGGACTGGGATTGATTGGCCGCTCAGGCCGTACTCACAAGCAAAATCTCGTGGAGTTTCCGCCTGCAACGACGGCTACTGCAGTAGTGTACAGCAAGCACATCGCTCCTCGAGATGGCATGTTCGACGTGCGTCAAGATTGGCAAAAAGCGAAGGGCATCCGAACGAAAACAGTTGATAACAAAAAAAAGGGTTGTTTCCCGCTTGTGGAGAAGGTGTACGACAAAAAAAGCCAACGCTCTCATTAGAATATCGCCACAAACAAAGGTGACAGCAACAACAAATGATAAATCAGCAACAGAGCAGAAGTACCTTCGGCCCGGATGTCGTTGCGAACGATGCCGATGCAGAGGCCCCGTCCCCTTCCCCAGGGCGCGGCGTGTCGATGTCCATGACAACCGCTGTCAAAGGACCAAAAAGAGACACCGCAGAGTGAGCACGGGCTGGAGCAAAGTCTCCAACAAGCCTCGAGCGTGTCTTCCAAAGCAAAAAGAGGGGTTGGTGAACACCGACTGCGGCAAGGATACGACACCACAACAGAGACGAGGCACATGTGATCGGTGTTGTCGACGCCCTGTCCCACGATGCCCTGCATGGGCTCAGGGGCACACAGCTTTCGATTGGCCAAGCAACGGCAGAAGAAGGTATCTGGGAGTTGTAGGGAAGCTGAAGTATTGGTTGCGTAGCGTCCAGTTGGTGCAAAAAAATAGCCGGTAACGCCACCCGCCCTGATGGGAGCGATAGCTACATACCGAGGTGAAACTCCACATGCTGTTGGGTTGTGCCCGTTTCGGTCGTGGACACACGCGCCAAAAGACCCTTCAGAGAACACACTCGAGGGTCATCGCTGTAAAGGTACAGGAGTATAGATATCGCGAACAAAGTGTAGACGAGCAATCTTCTTTCATATCCGCGTCCTTCGCGTCGACGGAACGGCGGCGGCGGCGAGTCGGTCCTACATAGATTACACAGCGAAGGCTTTGTATGCTATAATACGAAAACAGGAGAGACGACCTCCGACCTTTAGTATTGTATGTTGCAGTAGATACCACACCCCCGATACCGATTTGTCAAAAGCTAAAGCTCAAGGCATGCAACGCGAGACGCTCTCGTGGCATTTTGGCCTCCCGAAACCTGCAGCACTTCTTCTTCTTCTGTTGGCCGAGCCGTACCGCGGTGGTGGTGTTAAGAAATGGTATGCGCTTAGCTCCAGAAAAAACACCACCGCGTGTGCGTACTTCACTACGGGGAAGGCTCATGTCTCAAGTTACTTATATATTATTAGCAGCAGCAGCAGCTCTGCAAGGATTGCTTACTACTACAGCAGTAGTCGGCGCACTCAGCACACCAGCAGTCTTGCTGCTGCAAACTGCCGACGGGAACAAGTTGTTGCATAGTTTCGCGAACTCAAGGTTCTACTGCAGTAGCCGCCAGAACAAGGTGTGTCGCCAACGCCCTACAGCAGTGCTGTTGGAAGTGGGTCTCTCGACACTAGCAACCGAACGCGCCCTTAGCAGGGCAGGGCAGGCAGTCAGCCTTGCACCCCAATTCAAAAATTGACGCTAAAGATGTGTTCGTTGCTAGTCTCCACAGACACCAACTCTTGATACTCCTATACAGCAATGATTCACTCACCCTCTCACCTCCCCAAACGTCTCGCTCCTTGCTAGTTAGCACCTCTGTTCCTTCCTGCGGTGAGGCAAAGCGACAGCGAAGCGCGGCTGCTGGCGTATGATGGGGGCATCCGCAATCTGCACAACAACTAGGGGTAGCGTGCGAGGGCGTCGCCCCTGGCACAAGCAATCCCGCCGCGTTTTCAAGCAGCAAAGGACTGATCCGATCATCCGATCGGCACACCAACTGCTGTGTACCAACTCAATACCCACCGCAGGGCGCACACGCGACACAGCACACAAACCATACCTTCACCGAAAGGGTGTTTCGAAGTTGGTGTTCGTTGGCATAGTCTCGAGACCGAGGAAGGAAGAGGGTAAGGCAACCTTCAGCATCACCCAACAGGCACAGCAGGGTTGACAAGAGCAGCTGCAGCTGAGGGCAAGCCAGTAGCACAGCAGCGAGGAGCGAAGAGACTAGGAGCGCTGAGAGATGGCCCAGCCTGGAAGGAGCCCGGAGGTGGATGCTGAGCTGAAGAAGCTGCAGGGGGTACAAAGCGGTGAGAACCGGGATATGTATGGTGCTTTTGATCAAGAGAGCAAGCGCTGCCTGTGCGTGCCGGAAGTACGCGCGCAAAGCTCTCCTGTAGCTCGTAGATCGTGGTTGCTGCACTGGCGAACAGCAGTGATTGTTGACCGCGCTCACGAGTTGCTGGCGCCCCCTGTTGGGCGCGTAAGAGGACGACTGCCGACTTGCAGCAACATCGTTTAGCGACCTGCATTGGTGCTTGCAACACACGTGTCCAAGAACAGCAACAATGCCGCTCTGCAAGGAGCCACCCTCGCTTGATATCTCTCTATTTGGTCCAGTACAGCAGTACAGCAGTAGACAGCAGTTCGTCCTGCCAAAGATCGCCCATCACGACCGGATCTTAGTCGAATTCTGAGAGGGTTGGGCACGTTCATCTATGCATCTATGCTGCAGACGGGACCAAGAAAAACGAAAATCACCCAAAAAGAGCCGGAAGCATGCAGCCGTGCCCTCTTGCTGCATGCTGCTGTAGCAACGGCAGTCTGACTGGTGTATGCGGAGTGTATGCAATAGTCTATGCATACAATGTTTTACCTTCGGTTGTCGTCCTGCCGGGTTTCGAACTCCGCCCTCCCCACCCCCCTCTCTGCTTCGGCTTCCCCATCAGAGCTTCAAGCTTTGGCGGCGTCCCGCAGCCAGTTCTACCAGCAAGCGAATGAAAACGGCATGGTGAAGCAGGTGAGTCCGGTATGCATAGGCCAAAGAGCCGAACAGAATCGTCCCAGCGCTTGTCCTGTGGTATGGCACGCAACGTCTAGTCCTGCCCTCTACGTTGAAAACTGTTATTGGCTGGTCGCGATAGTGAAACATCTCCTCTCCTCCCACACCCTGCGTTATGCTGTTCTAGGAATTGGACCTGCTCGAAGATGAGGCTCCCGTCTTCAAGCTGGTTGGGCCGGTGCGTATGAGCATTGCTTGCCTAGACACTAGACACACGCACAGCGGTACTTGTATTTTTCGAGGCATTGCTTGGTGATAGCGTCCGATGTGAAAACAGCAGTCAATCAGCTCGTGCACGCGCTTGACCTACGCGGTGACATCGTTGCAAGGTAGGGCATTGCTTCTCCTGAATATTGTAATGTCGGACGCAGTGTAACGCGCACACTGCGGTCTCGCGAGGGAAGCGCAAGGTTTCTTGCACGTACTCCAACGCTTGCAGATTCCCCTTATTGTGCTACTCCCAAAACCGAGTCGGTGTTTGAGCTCTGTCGATTAATCTGCTTCAGGAAGATCTGCAATGAGATTGTGAACGCTCTTGCTGCTCTGGCACGTGCCACGAAACTGTCGAAACGTATGGGTATGCACCCAGCCCCCGCTTGCGGGGCCGAGTTCTTGCCATTTTTCGGATGTTGGGCATAGGTCGTAGCCGGGATACCGCCAATTTGTGCCGGATTTCCTTGCATTACTTACGACTGCTCCAGCAAAGAACAGCAGTCAGTATGTCATCGTAGATTGGAAGCGAGGGATGAACAACAAGAGCTAGTCTGGACATACCAGAAATTGAGAAATACAGGTGACCAGCGATTTGGGTTTTGCTTGAAGCTCGTTGCACAATCCCGGTCTTTGTCTCGTTTCTACTGCGGACCTCGAACGCGTCGACGCGAGCACGTTGTGGCTGGCTTTCATGCGACGAAGTCGATGCCCGTTTGTGGTTGCTATTCTAGTCGATACCATGATACAGTTGATGGGTGAAGCAGACCTTCTCGTTGGTCGGTATCATCATGCGACCTATGCTGGCGCTGGCGAAGCTCGACGCTCGTTGAAGCTCGCTGCTCATTTTATTGTACGCCTGTTGTGGCGCTGACTTTGTAACGCTTTTGTTCAAACTTTTGTTTTGGTTGGACGACACTATTCACCAGAGCAGCGTATGAAATACTGCGTTTCGTGACATTACATGTGATGTGATCGCAGACAAGGTATGATACGACTAATATTCACTTCACTCGATACACCCGACAATGCGTTATGAAACGATGCAATACAGGTGCTGATTAAGCAAGACCTTGAAGAGGCCAAGCAAAACGTTGCCAAGCGACTGGAGCTTATCGAGCGAGAAATGTACGCCACGTTTACCGTTTGTGCTGGCATGTGTTATTCACTTTCAATCATTGTCGTGCTTCGTCTTGCACCACGCAGATAGATGGGCGATTTTAACGTTTGTAAATGTTGTTGTTCCTTTGGGTGGATGTTCTGGGTGCCATATTTGAAGTATTGGTACAAATTAATCCGAAATGGAGCTGCTGTTTTGGGTGTCCACGGCGCAAGAATGGTGTTCGAATGTACGCCGCTTAGATTAACTCTCGTCATTTCACTTCACTTTGTGTTGTGTTTGCCTTCGACCTCGTTCGGTGGTCACAAGATGCTTGTTGCAACTGGTGAACAGGCTCGTTTCGAACTCCTGCCTTTACGCTCTTTGGGCGATTTGTTTCGCCGGCTACGCATCGGCCTGTGCTGTGTCTAGCGTACCCTTTAATATGTTTTCGAGGTGTCCGTGTGCTTCTTTCCCCCTTGACGTTGTCGGCTACAGTCCTTGTCGTGTTGGATATCAACGGTATCAGGACATGTACATGGAAGGTTGTTCTTCCTCACTTTTGTATTTTTGGCATATGTTATGGCCTAGACTATATACTGACGGTGCACGAAATATGCCCCATTGCTCCGCCAAATAAGGTCTCTGTCACGCTTACCTCATCACGCTCCCATATCGCAGGGCAAAGGTGTCCAAGGCGTTTGAGGAGAAGCAGAAAGAGGAGGCCGCAATAGGAGATGAGGTATGCCCCTCCCCAAGCCTCTTTTGATCTCTTCGTCACTACCAAATGCTACGGCACGGCTTGTCTCTCTTGTTGGTGCTGAAGCGTCACCCGTGATCTTGTATGTTGGCACAGTCCGAGCAATAGTCAAGTCAAACAGGTTTCGTCGATTGACCACATCCGCCCTTTCTTGCATACCGAGTTATGTGTGGTTTGCGCACTGTGAACGGTCTTGAAGAATTTCAGTTTGTAGTCCCAACAAGTAACGTGATCGTCACACCCACACACAGGCATGCGTGCAGTGTTGGATGCAGTGATTCCGGAAGCAGACAGTTTTTTGCCCAATTTTTCCGAGTCGATCTGGATTTCCGCACCGCTCTTCTGTGTAGACGGCTGTAGCCATGATGGTGCAGAAAAGCCTGCTGTTGTTGTTCCGTTCACGCTGTTACCCTTGCCTCCTTCCCTCTGAACGTTCACGATTTTCGGGATTGTTTTCCTCAGATCATGAGGATGCAAGGAGGAATGAAAGAGCGAGCAGCCGAGGAGGCGCGGAAGATCATGGAAGGCGCGGCATAGTAACACATGGCGTACACGTAGTGGGATGTGTTGGCATTATGTACCGCGCTGTTTAATGAAAGTGTATCGAAAGGTGTCGGACGTGTTTCTCTTGGAATTAGTACTGGGAGAGACAAAACATTCACGGGACTTAGCTCTCCGTCGTGCAAATAGTGAAGTCTGTGAACGTGTGGACGAGAGTGCGATGACAGCATCGGGTGCTTCTTGGATGCACCCATGCGGAACGAGATTTCGAGGAATGTCACTCTCCGCGGCTGGGAAATGATACCGCTTGGGCTGGAAGGAGACACAGCTGCCGGCTGAGTAGACTTGGAGGCTGCACGCGTTCTCGGGGATGCCGTAGAATAAACCGGCGTATGTAGTAATCTGTCACTCCAAGACTGCTTTCAGCGCGGATCTGCTTTTTCTTCGTTATTTCGGTGAAAGAGTAAGCGTACCGACACGACTTTCGGTGGGCGCGATTTTCGAAGTCGAAGGCCTGGTTTTGGCGCGTCATACGTGCCCGCTGGCATTAGAACCAGAGAAGCTGCAGATGAGAAAGGAGAGCGGGGGTGACTATCCGACGTCGAAAAGGGGGGGGGAGATACCGCGCATGGTTGATCTTTGGCGTGATTTTGAACTCGTCGACCATGGCTGTGTGGGGTGCAACAAGAAATTCGGGTGGCCTCTTGTTGACTCAGCGTAAACAAAGCGCTTTTCGGCATCAGACACAACAACCATCACCGTTCGGTCGTTCTGCGTCAGTTTCATTAGCGCGAAGCATCCGCTGCTGCTGTGGACCGGTGCGGGGATACATAGATCAGGGCGTCTCCGCGCAACGGATGCACCCGGGACTGAATTGCAATTTTAATGTTCGTTTTCGCCCCCCTTCACGTGAAGTTCAGGAATTCATCCGGAAAATGCTCACCCATTGTTGTCGCCCTCCAGGCAAGACAGCAGTTATTTCCAGCGAGACACGGCCCGAGTGTAGTTTCACCGAGTTTTTTTGTGACTACGTTCAGGTCTAATATATATTGAGACATGCAATACTGAGTGTCCACGTTCTGCTGCTGTAGATAGATACACAGCCTGCCTGCAGGGAAACACATATTTGATCAAATCCTCGCATTCCAGCCATTTCGCGGAATCATTCGAGAAACACGAGTCGACGGGTAATTGTTGATCCGAGACACAAACCGATCTTTCATTGTTTCCTTGTACATTATACAGCCGACCATGGTACGGGCGGGCACAACACCGCATGTCTGTTAGATAACAGCACAACGGGAGCGTTTCGCCGTGTAGTCATACTGGCCTAATGGTCCCATTGTGCGACACATGCGTTGGTGTCTCCGCCTGCGCCAGGTCGGCAGCAGAATGAAAGATCGGGTTGGGTCAGGGATGACAATTTACCCGTCGGATCTGGATCCGTCCACCCGTCTTGTGCCGGTACTGAGTGGACGCATGCTGCTTTGAGACCGCCACAGCACACACCGGCATTTTTCAGAGCACACTCTCGCTGGCCAAGTGACCACACGCGTACCTACGTGCATGCGTAGGCCTGCGGTGAAGTGGATACCAGGTTGTTCGTATGTATGAACATTGCAAGATCGCCTTGGATCGCGGGTGGAAGAAGAAAGCGGATGAAAAATTTTGGATCGTGCCACACGTTCGTTCTCCCGCAGTGCCATCGGTATAACGAACCTGATGATCTTGGGAACATCTCCCACCGGCGGTGATTGACTACCCACAAGAAGACCACCGGGGCGACGCGTCACAAAGAAGTGCGGAGAAGTGAAACAGGATGATACCAAGCACAGAGGATAGTGTTCCAGTGTGACTGCTGCGAGTGGAGTGAATGTCACACGAGGTGAGACCTGGAGGCTCCGTCAATCAGTGCAAGTGCAGTGCGGCATACCCTAATTGTACTTTCTGCCGTCGCAGAGGTAGACTACAATATGCGGCAGGCCCTTCAGTTCAGTGCACACCTCTTCGCATCTCAGCAAGCATTCAAAGAGCCTCCGCACACCATGTTCTCCGGGGAGGTAGCAGTGATATGCCCAGTAGGTGAGTCACCGTTGATTTTGGCGGGCGAGGAAGCGCGCAGCATGTGCTACATGGCCGCTCGCTGTACAGAAATTCAAATTTTGTTCTGCGCATCATGAGAGGCGGTGCAATTTGGGTCCCTTCCTACATAGCTACAGAGTACGAAGCTGATACCTTTGGCTTCGCACTGCAGTACTTCGCACTACACATTGACCATATCTTCGCAAAACCATGTACGTAACTAGTTTGCTTGAGAAACGCCCCTGTTGACTACTGTAGCATCACGCACAGACCATGAAATATGAAATACCTGGTACATTACAACCCCCCCCGCACCACGATGCAGAGTTGCAGACCTGACACTACAGCAGGTGTACTACAGGGCGGAGCCATCATTATCATTGCAACTCTCATCATCATTATGCCAGGCAATGACGAAGTGCGGGGAATCTGGTCCACGGTTGCCAGCGGACAGCTGTATCGTCTGCGTCCCGGCGCTCGTGCCGTGAACAGGAACAGAAACTACAGTAAACAAGGAAGAGTCTCCTATTAATCCTACACGGTCACGAAAAATCGACCTTGGGAGCGCAGCGAAAGTGAGGCACATTCCGCCGCAACTGTGACCCTAACCCAGCTTCCCCAATTGTATTATTTATCCAACATGTTTACAAACTACGAAAAACTCTGTGAAGGCTACTTCTCCTACTGCTGTACTACTGCTGCATACTACTGTCTTAATACGAGAACCACCCCTTGTCCAATTTTTTTTTTTTTTTTGTTCTTCACTGCAAATCAGCGCTCACAGCACTAGTGCCGTTTATTCCAACCCGTGGTCACACAGAAGAGCCTCTCTCTACCCTCCCCTCCTGCGGTACTTCGCCTTCAATTTTTAATGCGAGAAGAGTTCAGCACTCTCTTCCCTCTGTGTACACACGAACTAGCGCTATCCACTTGGCCAGGAGCGGAAGCGAGAGAAAAACTCACTTTGCAAGAAAAGCTCGCCTACGCCGGGATTCGAACCCCTGACCTGACCTCTAGAAGGTTACGAGGCTACCAACTAGACCACCGGGGCGACCGGATTGTATCTATCCATAGCGAAGAGCAACTGCCACGGTACAGGTCACGAAACATCAGCTGAGATCTCATCTCTATTCGTGCCGGCCCAAGAGTCTAAAGCAGCAGCAGCAGCTTTATCTATCGTGTTCATCTCCTTCGCCTCGTTCTCCTCCAGCAAACTGAGCGGAGACGGACTACACTGGTACAGCAGTACTCTTGCTTTCCAACAGATTGTTCTTATGAGGAAATTTCTTGTCATGTTGTGCGTGCGTAGAACAGCATCAACTCTAGGCTGCACCCCGCGCGTACGCTTTAGTTCGGTGAGCAAATGAGCACGGTGCCTACCCCTGTGGAGGTCCATCTTGTTCTTAGCTCGATATGTTAAATTTCCATACGTACATGTATTCTACGTTATCATGACGAACTCAACGGGAAATTCGAAGATTCAGCTGTTTAGATTCATTCTGAGTTTTGCCAATAGCGGGGCACACCCGGTCACTTCTGACTTGCAGTAGCTCCTTTTAGTGAGGGGGGAGACTCCAGCTTCGAAGACGGTGCAACCAACGGAGTGTACAGCAGTATCAAATGTCGTGTTCACACCTGTCTGCTATGGTCTAAGTGACAACAGTAGTCTACAGGTCTATGCTACAGTTTCGGGCCTGCCGTTACGAAAGGCCAATTCCGGGCCTAGCCCTGGGTTCGTGCTTCGTCCCCACCGTCGAGAATAGACTATTTCTAACGCCATGCAGGATTTACTGTGTAGCACCCGGCACTGAGCTGTCTTTCTTAAGTCCCACATTGCCGTCTTAGTAAGTAGTGTTCGGGAAGAGCTTGAGTCTGTTGTGCTTGGACAGTTATTGCTGTTTCGCGGCCCTGTGCTGCTGTGCGCAGCTGCCAGCCGATCCTGTAGTGCAAATCAATCGACAACCCCTACCTCATGATAGCATCAGGAGTCGATCAAACCTAGGACGAAAGCAAACGCTGCGAAAAAAATACATCATGGCATTGTGAAACACTGGGAGCGGTACCGGAGCATCTCTACAATAGCCTAGAGCCGACCAAGTGCTGTCGCACACGTCATCGCGCAGGGGGGATGTTTGCAGGGGCGGCCTGTGGGGGAAGCGGCCCTCTTAAGGCTGCCCTGGTTTCGACGGCCATCACCGTTGGTTCTTCTGCTGCTGCTGGTTCTCGTTCGACTTGCTCTGCTTTCGCTGCCCCTCCCGCGACTGTGCACTGCCGGCCCACGCATAGGATGCCGTCTTGTAAGAGATCGGACTTCCAGCCGTGTTGGTGAAAGTGGGCAGAGGCGGTTGACGCCCAGCTGGACGAGTATCGCTCAACAGTGGTGATTAGCTTGCTGTCAGCAATGACGACTGCTGTAGAACCAACCCTAGGCGTTGTGGTACAAGAGGTTTCCGCATTGCTGAGGAGGCTTTTTTGTGAGGGGTTAGGGTTAGTATGCCACACCCGCTTTTCATGGTCCCCGAGGCCCGTGTGGATGGCTTCAACCGACCCAGCTGCTGTGAACGATTCCAGCTCGCGCAGCTAACATGGCCAAGAAAAGCGCCGAACAGCAAGAGAGCTATGCTTGATGGTTTCCCGCCATGACTGTGGATCATGTTGTGTTATTCGTTGGATGAAGGGGACGGATTCCCGCGATAATCTGGCATGGAAAACTCCATACGATTAGTAGGGATGTGGGGGACACGGTGCCTTTGTTTGTGTTTTGGAACGGAACATTCAGTTATCACCGGATGCTTTGATCTTACTGTAGAGCCCCCTCCACATCTGTAGGTATGTGTGTGTAATGGTAAGTACAGCCCTGCCTATTATAGCAGGGGCACAAGGATAACGATAGCATCAGTTTGTTTGCCTTGGTTGGTGATATTTGAGTTGCTGTTGCATACCATTTGATTAGCCTGACGCGTAGAGTGTTCGCGATCGCGATTTGCTCTGCGTTGATATGTGTTGCCGAACTTCGTTTTCCAGCATGTCGCCTGCGGCTAGGCCTAAATTTTGATGTTTTCGGCTTTGGGTTGATTTTCCTAGGCTTCATTTATTGTCTATGGTGTTTCGTGGCGTAGATGTTCCCTTTTGAGGGAAGTTGGGTTGTGACCACTGTAGGCGACCTCGTCAGTTGGCTCGGCACGGATGTTGGACGGTACTGAGCAGAGATCGTCGGAACGGGTTTTTACGTTGCAGTATCAACAAGAACATCAGCGACACGAGTGCCACAGTGTGCCTCGCGTTGGCACACGTCCGAACAGTCCTGTCCTGTAGACCCAGACGTCGTTCTATTTCGTCTTCACTGCTGGCCTCGTATGCATTGTTTTCCCATTGCGAAAAAGTACCTCCATCACACCAAGACCAGAGGCGATGAAAATAACACGCTTTTCGATGACAAGCTCGAGTCTATCGGCGCGCCTCCAGGCTCAACTACTTTCCCTCTTCCCATTCCACACCGCCGCCATTTCCACCTGTGTCACCGTTCCTTGACTCTTTGCTGGCAAGGGATGAGCCAAGCGAGGCGCCAGATCCTCGCCAAAGGCCTCGTGGCCAACCATGCCACTGTGCTGGACTTCTCCCCCGGGGATGTCAACGGAAAATCCCCTGCCTCTTCCCTGATTCCAAAAGCGGCGGATCTTTTCGCGGGCACTCCGAAGGGTTCTTCGAAGCGGAAGCGTGCGAGCTCAGGGGCTGGGGATGGGGCTTCTTCCGGCAAGCGCAAGGTGATGAACATGTCGGTTGTGTCTTGACCTTGTTGTTGCGAATGTCGCGAACCTTCCCGCCGCAAGGCTTCTGATTGTTTTCTTTGTTTTTGGTGCGTACTGTAGGCTGGAGGAAGCTAACGTCCAGAAATCACGCGGAAACCCTGCTAAATAGTTCAGACAGACAAGCAACGGCCGCAGCGTCGAGAAAACACGCCACCCACACAAAACTCGCAGTAGCCTTTGCGCCACGCTCTTGGGCTTGGGAACAGCCAGCAAATGATTGTAGCGTTTTTTGAGTTTCCCTTTTGCTGTCTCCACGTTTGGTCCTAATGCATGCGCCCGATGGACGTGGGCAGGCCACGGAGCACGGGCCGGTGGCTCTGGTTCCGACCATGGTGGTTTGCGATGCGGCCTCTTTCTCGTCGGCAAGGGCTAGCGAGGAAATGGAGGGGATATTCAACAAGTATCCCCTGAAAGAAGAGGCCTCCTCGGTGAAGGTGGGGATGTGTCTGAAGATGCTATGTTTTAGGGTAGTGTTCTGATATTCTTTGAGAATGGGGGGTGAGGGTGGGAGGGGGGGTTATAGAGAGAGCCTGGGGATTTAGTTTTTTTCGTTGGACGATGGCTCCCAACTGGTATCGTATCCTGAGAGTGTGGCAGTCCCTTGAACGGCTGATCGATAGCATGACGTGAGCATTTGGGAGGTTAGCTTTTGGGGGGTTGGATAGCGACACTTTGGACGACAGAGCCATACCCTTGCGGTCGCTGCTGCGTTAGCTCTGCAATGAAGCCTCCCCCCAAATCTTCTTCAGAGTCCCCACGACGTTCACGGTGCGCGTGAGTGAACTTGTTTGGTTCCCCTTGTCTACAATCTACACCACGTGCAACGCCCCGCCTCGAACAGGCGGATCCTTGACACACGCTCCCCTTTCCGATCAAGCCCAAATAGAAAACAAGATACAATAATTTCTTGTCCCGTCCTCGCCGCGAGCTCCCTCCATATCATCAAGCCGGGCATCGTTCTGGTGCTGGTTCTAACCCAACAGAACAGAACGTGGCGGGGGTGCTCATCATCCCGCGCACCAAACCGTCCCGCATTGCCGTACCGTACCACCGCCAATACTGCAGGTGGTGGGATCGGCGTGGCTGTCCGAGTGCCTCCGGCTGGGCTCCGCCCAGCCAATGGGATCGCACCTGCTTGATACCATCACGCCCGCCACGGCGAAGAAGTTCTACAATAAGAGCCCTACGGCTGCCGTTTGCGGTGCAGCTGATGCTAGTGCTGGTGCTGGTGCTGGTGCTGGTGGCAGCGGTGGAGGTGGAGGTGTGTCTTACGGGAAATCGCAGAGTAGTGCACCACTATTCTCAGGCTCCCACGTACCTCCCTCTCGATACGGCCTGGGTGGAAGCTGTGGCATGGATTGAAGGCGTTTCTGTTCAGCACGGCTGTTTCGTATGTTCCGCGAAGGAATTCTAGAGATTGCCCGGACTTTTGGACAGGGGTACGAGAAGCAGGAACTGACGTTTTTCCGTCCTGACCGAGATGGGTGATAAGTGAACCAACACGTGAAAACAGCCCCTCCCCACCCCTCCCCCCGCCTCCAATCTACGACGACCGTACATGGAATAATAAAGACTAGTCCATTGGACTACCCAGTCAGAAGGTCTGACAGCCGTCGACCCGTTTGAGAAGCGCGCAGAAAAACCCGCATTTTCCGGACAAACGGGAAGGTGGGGTCCCGCAGCCTAACATCGAGGGTAGGGTAGGTTAAGTTGGTTTTGGGCAAGATCTCGGCTACGAATTTCCTAGTCGAGGACGGCTGACAAGAAGAGAGGGGCAACCAAACAGAGACAGCACTTCGTGGGAGATGTATTGTTCCCGCTTGCAGATGCCGTGGGGCTCGCTCCAGACTGCGCCCCCCGCCACCTTCGTGCTCCTTTCTCTGCCCCCCTCCGCGTCAACAGCGCCAAAGTCTTCGTCGTCTTCTTCTTCCTGGGGGTGCCTCGCTCGTCCTGCTCAGTCGAAAGCGAAGGCGGCAGGTGATGCGGGTTAGATTCTTGCCAATATTTCCTCTTTCTCCTCTTCGACTTGAGGTGTTTAGCTGTGTGCTCGCCTGTTGGTGTCTGTTTGTTCGATGCTCATCCTATCGTGGCTGGGGTTGGTTTGCCGAAGGTTGGTGTTGGTGTTGGTGTTGGTGTTCCCGATGCCGTGTCTGGTTGCTTCATGGGCAGAGCATGGTACAGGTACAGGTACAGGTACAGATGCAGGTGCAGGTACAGGTACAGGTGTGTCGCGCGGCCGTCGTCCCTGCCCAATGCGTCAAGGTTCACGAAGGACGGAAGGGAAGGGAAGGGAAGGGAAGGGAAGGAACAGCAGATAGTTGTACAGGTCGCCACCTGGACGGGCAACCTCCAGATAGGAAAGAGGCGTGGGATGTACATGTACAATACCTCACAGGACACAGAACTCCCCGAACGCCGGGCATCAATGCCACAAAACACCGGGTGCTTCCTTTCTCTCGTATGTCCCCATTCAATTCGCCGCTCTAGGGAACGATGGCGGAGGGGGCTCAAGCTCGACCGCTGGCGGCGGCGGCACCACTGGTGCCGGTTCGGGAGGATCCGACGGCCCGGGCGTCCTATCCAAGGAACCGGTTTGGAGGGACGGCGGGGGTGACGGGGGGAGTAGCAGTGAGGGCGGCAGGTAAGCAGCCTTGTGGGGAAGAGGAGAGGGGGATATTTATGGAAGGCGGGGTCGGGGGTTGCTGGCAGTTTCGGTGGCGAGAGAGGATAGGAGGGGAGGGGTTGCAGGAAAGGAGGGGAGGGAAGGAGTTGCAGGAAAGGAGGGGGGGGTGATATTGTGGTTGTTTCGTTGGAATCGGGTTGCCATGGTGTGACAGAAAATTCTCGCCAAGTCTACACTACTGTTGTTTGAGCAGGAGGACATTATGTTATGCATAGGACAATACCAAAATCGTCGGCCAGGCCTTGGTTTGAGGTAGCCCAACCACAACCCGGCGCCCTCTAGCGTCACGCCCCCACTCCCCTGGGTTCGACACACAGGGTACAATGAATTCCCGTTTTGAGCCCGTTGAAGTGTTGCTGCCAGGGAAAGTCTTAATCCTCACTGCCACCCCCTTGTGTTCGTGCGTATCTTGGAGTACATGTACTTGAGAACCACCCCCTGGAGACCACCACGCAACCATGCGACGACTGTGCGTGGGCAGCCAATCAGATTCAACTTTCTCAACGATGGGTCCGAATTTGGCCAGGTTGGAGTTGCTCATCGCAATCCTCCCATGGTGCCGTTGCTGTTGTCGCTGTCGATGAATGTGTTCAGGTGGGAAGAGCTGATGGAGGGATCGGTGCTGCGGTGGGTGCCCGACAGAAGCAGGGTCTCCACCCATATAGTGGCGTTCGACATGGACGGGACGCTCATCAAGACCAAGTCAGGTGAGGTTGTCGGCATTGTCTTCGTCCACGACACATTTTTGGCGCTCTCTTTGTAACAAACCTCTGTTTCATATTTTCCACGTTTGCTCCTGGTGTGGTGTGCTTCCTTTTTTTTCCTTTTTTTTTTTGTGCTGCGGTGAGGTGAGGTAGGGTAAAAACTGTATCCCACCAAGAAGACGTGAGCAGCGTTGGCCCTTCGTCGAAGGGTAACTAACACAACACAGGAGCGTTGCGACAGGCGCCGATTGGCTTATGTCAGTGCACACCAAACCTTTGCTCGAGTATCCTCGATTTACTAAATACGCACACAGTCTCGGTTGACCCCCCCCCTTTCTCGATGTCATACGGAGCCCCCCTCCCGTCCAGTATCATCCAAGTGCCCACCCGCCCGGGGTGGCATCGATCAATCGACCAATCGATCAATGGGTCAATTGATCAATCGATCAATGGGTCAATCGATCAATCGATCAATCGATCAATCGACCAATCGACCAATCGACAGGGAAGCGTTTCGGAGATGCTGCGGACGACTGGCAGCTTTGGAACGGCAAGATCCCGACGGTGCTGCGAAAGTGGCACGACCGAGGGTACAAGGTGGCCATCATCTCCAACCAGATGGGCGTAGGCACGGGAAAGGTGGACCCGCGAATGGTACGTACGTGGGTAGGGTAGCGTGGTGATGCAGCGTGGCGTACGTTGATGACGTTCACGGGGCCTCGCAGCGTGTTTCGTTTTGGGATGTCTGTTTTTTCGGTGTTCTTTCTCGTCGGAGGTTGGGATGTCCGTTTTTTGGGTGTTCTTTCTCGCCGGAGGGAGTGTTGCGTCGTAGGTGCTACTGTTGCTGGTGATGGCTGATGCTTGATCTCGTGGTGATGGTGATGACCCTTGCCAGCGACCGCAGTCAGCAGTCAGCAGTCAGCAGTCAGCAGTCAGCAGTCAGCAGTCAGCAGTCAGCAGTCAGCAGTCACGGGTTGGCCTCCTAATGTATAACGCACGTCATCCCCGCTACCTACTCATGATCGTTTTTTTTCTGGATAGACTTAACGATTTTCTCTCATGTGTTTATTGTTGGGTTTGGGGGTCGACATAATGAGAGATTGCCCGCACATTTTTACCATCAATTCGGCCGATTGTTTTCCAGCAATAAAACAAGAGCAACGCTGCGCTTCTTTAACGCGAGGCACAACTTTTAGGACGGGCGGGGTCATTTTTCCTCCCCACCCCGCTCCTTCGTACCCGAGCGTGGCTGACGTTAAATGATAGTTAGCCTCGACCTCGTGGTGTCTAATCGAGTCAAGTCACCCAGCACGGTGACGCACACTGAACAACGTCCGAACGCCCCAAAAAGAAGTGCCTGCGAGCGAGGAGTCACGACGCAACTCGCGTTTACCCCGTACTGATTTCACCAGCAACCTGCATTTGCTCCATGCCTAAGTACACCAACGCCACACCAAACCACTAAATTTATTTGTTTCTCTCTTTCCGTTTCGGGCGGCGTATGGTTTGGCTCTGTCTGTCTGTCTGTCTGTCTGTCTGTCTGTCTGTCTGTCTGTTTCAGCTGAAGGCGAAGGTTCGGTCCGTGGTGAGGGCTCTAGGCATCCCCGTTGAGGCCTACCTGGCTTGCCGTGACGACTACTGCAGAAAGGTGCCGGTTTGCATCCCGTTGCTGCTCCTGCTGCTGTTGTGACCTCGGAAGCGTGTTTAGTCGTTTCTTACCTCTTGGAGGTGTTGCGGTGTAGAGCCCGCAACACAGCGCGTGAGTGACCTCGTGCTGGCGGTCGGAAAGGGTGCAGGTGGAGTGTTTGCATAGCCGAGCAACATTTTCCCCCGGCCCGCTTAAGCACTCTGCATGATTCCCGGACCGGGTCTTCATGCTTTTGAATATGGTATGGTAGCATGGACGTTTGTGCGATATTGGCGTGCGGTATTGCCACCCCTGATGCGGGAGCTCGACGGAGACTCTCAGTCGCTGTCGTTGCGGTTGTACGTACAAGGGTCCGCTCCGTCCGAAAACGCTTGTGGTAGGCGCGCTTCCACGAGCGCCCGGTTCACCATCAGCAACACCCCAAGTCCTCTTTCGTCGACACGGCAACTCAAAGCGTAGCTTACCGTAGGATAATTGCTTCTCAGGCGAAAAATGGCGACCCCCAGCTCATGGTTTGGACACCCCGTGTCATTCATGTCTCTGACTTGTTTTGTACTATTGGCAGCCTCGTCCCGGGTGCTGGGAGATGGTGTCCACCTCCTACAACGGGGGTTTGGATGTGGAGAAGGCGGCGTGCTTGTACGTCGGGGACGCCGCGGGCAGGCCCAAGCAGGGGACCCACAAGAAGGTGTAACCGACAATCAACAGTGGTTTGCACGCCAAATATTGTGGCGAAACAGCTAGTGGCTTCCACGCCAGCCAAAGTCGGGAAACACCCTGAAAATAGGGTTCCCATCTCTAGTGGATAGCAATACGCCCAGGGGTTTACTCATCATGATGGTAGGCGAAGCCACAGAGGGCTTGCACGTACCGGTGTATCGGAATGTGAGGACTGTGGTGTCCGCGCCAAATACGTGGTAAAGTCGTCAAGGGTTTCCATCCCAAAAATGAATGGCGAACCCGCTGATAGTTTCCACGCCAAAATTGTGGCGAAACCGCCAAGGGTTTCGGTCCCAAACGAACGGCGATACGGCTGATAGTTTCCACGCCAACTATTGCGGCGAAACCGCCTAGGGTTTGCACACCTAGCAACTACGGTTGGCAGGCCACTAAGGCCTCGCGCATAACCGTGTATTGGAATGAGGAAACAGCCGATGTTTACTGCAGCACTTTCGATGTTTGCGGCAGCATCTCAGACGCGCTCTCAGGCACGATGGTGGAGGAACCGTTACCGTTACCGTTACCGATACCGTTGTCGTTACCGTTACCGTTACCGTTACCGTTACCGTTGGTCGCGTTCGTGACGGTCTTTTTCCTCGCGTCCGTCGCATCTCTCGAATACGTTTCCAGGATTTTTCTGCGGGCGACTTGAAGCTGGCGCTGAACGCCAAGATCCCCTTCCAGACACCCGAGCAGTTCTTCATGCGATCCACGGTGCCCCTCCACAAGAACAGGTATGCTAGCCCCGACGCGACAACGGTGGGTTGCATGATGCAAGATACCGCACCCACCCCCTGGACCGTTTTCCGAAGCTCGATTAGTCTGCGGCATTGGATCCCTCTCGTGGAGAGCTTTCCAGAAGCGTACAAATTGGTTCTTGGCAGCCTGCACGTCGTGGAGAAATCGAGCTCTGGAAATCCGTTCAGGGGGGGGGGGGTACCTTACACAACCTGCGGTATTTGACGTGTAGTAGTCGGCTCGATTAGCGAGGTTTTTGGAAGAGGTTGGTTGAGGCTGAAGCAGGAACCAAAACTGATTAAATAATAGTGTACAATACCATGGTAGTGTTCTGCCGGCCGTCTCGGAAGAGCGACTGGGCGTGTGCCGTTTCGTCTTTTTTGCCACCAAGGCGCTCCGCGAAATCATCGAGTGACAGCGGCATCCCCGATGCTACAGTGCAGTGCCCGCCCGGACCCACAAGCGACAAACGGCCATCAGTGCATCTCCTCTCCTCTCATCTCATCTCATCTCGCCGCGTCGCTGCAACTCTCCGGGTACATGGTACCGCTGTAATTCAGCGCCATAGTGTCCAATGCCCCCGCTGACTGAATCTCAATATCGTCGTTGCTGTGCTTGATCTTGTAGATCTTTGGCGATGTTGGGCTTCGACCCTTCCACCCTTCTAGGAAAAGGTTCGGGGGGCTCCGCGGAAAGTCTTTCGCGGCGTGAGGGAGACGGGGGGGGCGGGTTGGAGGTGGTGGTGTTGGTGGGCCCCCCCGGCGGGGGAAAGAGTACGCTGTGCAAGGACAGGCTGCCAGATCACGCCAGGTGAAGATTGAGACACCACCGTCCCCTCAACCCCTCTTTTGAGAGAAGATGGGCCAGAGTTAGACGGAAGACAGGGCTTTGATCCCTCAGATGTTGAGAACATAGTAGACAATGAGCTACCCAGATGACCGTGATGGAGGTAGAAATCTCCGTAGCTCAAAGCGAAGCCGAATAGAAGGGGAACCAGCAAAGCATGCGAGAATGAGACGATGCCGCAACAATGTTGAAGACCCCACCGCGTCGTGTTTTGCTCATCTACATACCGTAGTTTTCCGTTTGTTCCTGTCCCTTTGCTTTGTTTTTGTGTTGGGAAAGGATCAACCAGGATGAGCTGAAAAGCCTCAAGCGGTGCGAGCGGGAGGCTGGGGAGCGGCTGAGGGGAGGGCGGAGCGTCGTGATCGATGCCACCAACGCGGGGGTGAGAGGGAGATGGAACGAAGGACAGAGAGAGTTTGCCACACATTAAGAATGAGAGAGAGAGAGACAGAGAGACAAAGACAGAGACAGAGACAGAGATAGAGAGAGAGAGGGGGGGGGGGTGGAAACGGAGAGAATGAGATAATGAGATAATGAGATATTGAGAAGGAGTGACACACGAACAGAGTGTCTCGAAACTTGCTTGTTGTTTTTTCTCCAAACCGAGGCGCTGTATTTTCTTGAGCACTACAAACAGAAGCGTATGCTTTTTGGTATGTGATATTCGGGATGTTCACCCACTACATTAGCATTTCCGGGTCAAGCAGGACTCTTCCTCCAATGTCCCGTTGTTCTCTCTCTTGTGCCAACGCGAGTGGCCGCTACCTTGCCCTCGTGCCGCATCGTACACGGTACACTCCAGCCTAAGCCAGCCACACAAGGGATACTGCTGTCCGTGAGTGGGGACGTAGTGAATCATTCTCGAGAGGATAATCCTTGGAGTGTTCCAACATCGCTCCGGTCTCTCGAAATGACTGGCTGCTCCGTGGGTTGATCCGTGGGGTGTTCGTTCCGTGGATTTGTTGTCTTTTTGGTCCGGTCTCGCAGCGGGGCACGAGGGCAGGGTGGCTGGATCTAGCGCGGCAGCACGGGGCTACGGCAAGGTGCATCTACCTCACCACCCCCAAGGTATCGATAAATAAAGTTAATGATAAAGTGAAACGAACAATAACAATGAAGAAAGCTCCTGTGTGGTATTCCTCTTGTGTGACCTCGGCTGATACGTCAGTAATATCCGCCGAAAGGCCTGTAATCCGGCGCCAGAATCGATGGGACGAACACACTCACTCAATATCAGCAGGTCCACAGTAGGCCACAGTACGAGGAGTGCCGGCGGTGCCGGAAATAGCGGCATATGAACTGTCTCGTGGAGACCTTCCCGACAATGTATCATTTGATTTTCGGAATCGTCTTCATCGTGGAACAATGGTAGAAGTTTGAAATTCATTCGGTGCAGGAGGTGTGATGTCTTACGCCATGTCACCTACGGTAGACTGGCTCAATGTGGTGGTGCGACAGGGAGACCTGCGCGAAGTGAACTGGAGCCTGATACGTGCAGTAGGCAGAAGCACTCAGAGCCTGAGAGTACGACATCGTATAATGCCGCACGCCAGCGAAGCAAGCAGCGGGTGGTGCAAGCTCAAACAATCCCATGAAGCATAATGAATTTCACTACCAAAACTAGTTGAAGATCGACTGCCCTATAACCAAGAGGGCTTGTCGACTTGAACTGCCGCAGGAGGCGTGCTTTCATCTGAACGCTTTCAGGGGGTGCGACCCCTGGTCACCGGAAGGGGAGCGTCGCAAAGTCCCCGACGTGGTGATTCACACGTGGTTCAAGTACGTCGACCCTCCGCACAAGAACGAGGTGCGTGCGTTTACGACTAATACTTACGGTGACTAGATCCAGAAAAACGTCATGCTGTACCGAATAAATACACTACGGAACCAGTCCTTGCTCGTTTTCGGTCGTGGGGTATGTCGGGCGTGCTCAGCACTAGATGTGGATCTACGGAGATGTAGGGGGCTTCGTGTATGCGGGTGTGTGATACTGGAGGAGGGGAGCCCCTTCTAGTATGCAGGGCTTGCTTGCTCTGTTCGTCACTCGGAAATAGTCAAAGGTCTTTAATCAACCTCATGACCACAGCCTCTAACGATAAGCACCTACCCAAAAGGACTTTGTTCGAGTCTCTTGTTGTGCCAAGCGGTGCTGACAACGTCGAATTTCTAGGAAATTGCGGGGATCTGGAGGCGTTGCATATAAATATTTGCTAGATGGAGGAACATGTTTCGACGCGGCATGGGAGGTCATTGTTTCCGTCCAAAAATGAAGACAAGAACGGAACAACTGACGGGTGAAGTCGGCAGCCAGTATGTTGCATCGAGTTCCGATTCCACGAGGGAGAGCGTCGAAAAATCGAACTCAAGTCAAGTGACTGGATCTATAATACGTTGTACACTAGCAATTCTTTGACAGCAACGGAAAATAGGTGAAGTGACATGTGGACGAGAAAACTCAATGATTCAAACACGGCCAATCGGATGAGACGGGGTAGTGTGTAATTGTTTGAGCACGCGGCAGGTTTTGGACCGGCCCCGGTTTTGTTAGCCCTTGCACCGATTCGAGAACGTTTTATCTGAATGAATATTCATCGGAAGTTGTCGTAGGAACCCATGACTGTCCTACTGACGCGAGCCTGTGTGTGTGTGTGTTTGTGGCGATGCCCGCCGGTGCCCACTACCGCCACCTCCCCCCGTTGAGCAGGGTTTCTCTGAGGTAGTCCACGTGCCGTTCAGGATGCGGGATCTTCCGCACCAACCCCAAGGCGGAGATGGCCAATCCGAGCGCGACTTGCTCCTCATGTACCTGGTTCCGAAATGAAAGTCTCACCATCCCCGTACTAGAATACATGCCCCCCCGTATCCCCGGTATCTCCCGTACCCCAGTGCAAGAAAAACGGGTCGTTCTACCGCAAGGGGGCACAGGGGACAGGAAGGGACAACGGAAGGAATGGGTTGGGGGCGGAGTTGGGCGAGTGATGGGAAGCCTGCGGGTCAAGCCCAAACTGGTCGTAGATCGTGCGGGGAGTTGGAAAGAATGAGTCTTTTTTCCGGCACGGGCAAGGGGCACGCCCTGCACGCAAGCAAGTTGGAGTCGACGGCCGTCGGAGTGAGAATCTGAAGCTCTTGCGCCATCGCCCTTGCCCTCACAGCGTCGAGAGCACTCGCTCACTATCCTTGGCGAAGAGCCTAGCCACCAACACCAACACCATGTAGACTACTGCTTCATCGTCGTTTCAAGAACACGGGTTCCCGGACAAACAAGTAGAGTAGGTGTTGTACACGGTCTGTATCGCCGCCGCCGCCGCCGCCACCGCCGCGGCCGTTGTTGTTGTCCTTGTTTTTACGAAAGTAAACATAACCTCACAGAAAGACAACCCGTTCGAGATATTTTCTTTGTGGTTCACAACCGGTACGATGGGTTGTCGTCAGTGTCGGTAAGGATGCATCGTCACCAGTTGATTTGTGTCCTGTGGGGCTGTTTGGCCTGCACGTCAGCGGTCGGACAGATGCATTTCAAATTGGTGCAGCAGTTAGTTTTTGCCGGACTTCAGGCAGGCACTGCTGTTCGTGCGTCGCTTGCTGACATTCGTCATTGTTTGTCCTTCCGCTTGGCCTTCATCTAAGCTCTTGTTTGCCATTGCGTGCCGCGATGTACACCACCGAGTGAATGAAAGCGGAAGAGCTAACCTGTCTGTCTTCTGGCCGTAAGACGACCATCGATCGATTCGCGAGTACAACCAACAGTTTCACTCGAATGTGGTTATGTCCTTGGCAACAAACCCACGTCGAGTTGACTTGTGAAGCCGGCATGAAGGCGGAAGAGCAAACGTGTCTTGTCAGCTAACTGCTGTACTGTAGTACGACCATCGGTTGATCGATTCGTGAGTAAAACCCACAGTTTCACTCGACTGTGGGTATCTCCCAGACAATATCCCACGTCGAATTTACTTGCGACGCCGGCAGGCAACAAAAAGTAAAAAGGAAACGGTTCATTTCGGAAAACACCGTTTTTTTCCCCGTCACCATCTATCCGTCGGTGTGTGCCATGTGTTTCTTGGTCCCCGATGTATTCTGGCACCGTATCCACAAGGTTCGGCGGCATTGTTGCACGTATTGACCGTCAGCCGGGGCGAGGACGTCAGCCGGCGGCATTTCTAGCGAAGAATTTCATTTGCAGTGAACAAGGAGAAACATGTAGTATTATAGTAACCCAGATGAACGCATCGAGACGCCCAACAAAACTTTTCGATAAGATAATTTGTGTGAAACCGAACCGAACCGAACCGAACCGAACCGAACCGAACCGAACCGAACCGAACCACACTCCCCCGGTTAGTAATAGTGCGAAACGATAGGGTAGAAACCACAACACGAGAACAAGTGTGGGAAAACCGGGATGGGATCCAAGTGCGCACGGTGACTGCTGCTATCGGCATCACCGACGTGGGCACTAGACTACAGCCCTTGACAAAGAGGCCGCACCAGCAGCAGCACCACACCCAGCCATTCATTCGTGAACCCGTTTCCCCCGACGAACACTCCAGACCACGCCGCCGCTAGGCCTCTCCAAAACGCACCGTTTCACACACGCAACGGGCCACCAGCCACCGACCAATATCAGTTCCTTTCACGATGCCCACATAATCAAAGGGGAACCCCGGCTCAGCAATGAAAAGTACACCGGGACAGAAGGCAGACGAAAAAAACGACGAACGACAACAAACCAATAGACCCTGTATGTGTGAAGTTCGAGAAATAAAAATATTTTCAGTTATGATGTCACAATCTTTGTTGCTATTGGTGGCCGTGACGAAGCCCGTAAACCCAGACGTTTGTCAAAATTGTCATCACCGTCGACCATTCAGAAGAGCTCGATAGTTGATGTCGATTAGTTGTCATAGATGTCGATTTTTCGAACGAACGTCATTAAGATGCTTACCAAGCGGTAATGTGCTACGAAACGACTATTATTGTTGCAATTGCACACGGAGACGAAATGATACGAAACAAAGGGAATTAGAATATCGTTGTAACTTGCGGTGCCTAGCTGAATTAATGTGGTTTCGACATGGTCCAATCAGTCGCCGTCTCTCGGGGCTTGTCTACCCACTACCCACAACGGTCCTACAGTACACAGTACCTCTCTCTCTACTGTAGAGCTCTGATTCCGACTTCCACAGAAAATAATAAAAAATCATGGGGCAGCATTGTTGCACCTTCCCTCAAGCGCTTGCTGCAAGCACAGTACTCTCTGTGAGGATTGCCAACGAACTCCGGCCCACGGTATTCAAAAACACAAGATGATGGGCGCGACACCGGCGAGAGACGGCGACCAAGGCACCACACAACACTACCACCAAAACAACCACGCCAGCCCACGCAAAGGCCAGCGAAAAAACTCGCGACAATAACAATGATTCCGCGTCGTGCAGACAAAAATCTTCCAACGTTGACCTTTCCTCCGTGCAAACAAGACTTCGGAATGAACTCAACAAAAAAACATCCAACCACTTACGCATACTACCCCCCCCCCCCCCCCCAAGGCCAGACACGGCCAACCTCTCCCCAACATCCACATGTCCCGCTGCCCCATCGCCACCATCGGACCATCCTCACCCGCGAATAAAATACAGCAGTCTCTGGCGAGATCCCCACAGAGGTGGGTAGACTCAAGTGACCAGGTGGCAACAGGTTTCGCCTAAGCGAGACAGGTTGGATACCTACCCGCCGTGGCGCAAGTTGTCATGTCATCTCATGTCATCTTTCCCTTGTCCGCGTTGCAACGCAAATGCCGTCATCAACAAGTATCTTGGAAATAATACCAATCGCCATACAAACGATATATACGGGAAACACACGACAGAAACAAAAGAGCTGCTCCGCGCGACACCCACTCGGCCTTCTGCAACCAACCACACCCACCCTCATCTCACGTGGGACCGTGGGACCGTGGACCACGGACAACAACAGATTTGACGTGATGCATCATTCCCAGTCGTAATCGGCCCTTATCAGCATCCCGGTCCCTCCCAACTCCACCACACGTAGTAAGCATCCAAAAAACAAGAAAAACAAGCCTGTTCTCGACGAATTTAGCGGAGGTTCCTGCGGTGATCGTGATGGAATGTGACCCCGATCCCCGCACACCTGCTGTCGCATCGGCGAAACACCTTGAATATTCTTTCCCGGCCAGGCGCGCGGCCTCCCTTTGCTTCAACACTTCTCCTGGTGATGCGCGTGCATCCAATGCCCGAAACAAATACAACCAAGAGTATGAGGATGCCGGATAGACTATATCCTTAGCGCCGAGATACGGGTGGGTAGTTGCAAACAACGCAAGCGAATCGAGTCATCGAGTCGAGGCTATCTGAAAACAAGACCGAGAGAAGACGGACGAATCCATCGGGCCGATCACACAACACCACGGTACGCGCACTACAGCAGTACGTTTACGTCCGGGACATGACAAAAACGGTGTCGTGTCCTTCTAGCGCTGTGATAACGGCGTGGTACGCATCCATCCTCCCCCCCCCCCCATGGTCACGCAGCGCAAGCAACATCAAACCCGGCGTTCTCGCGCACAGGTAGGTATGTAGTAGCTGGATTTGTTTCTGGCCACACAAATCACTGAGGAATTGAATTCCGGCGCATCCCTCCCCCGCCCGCCGCAGGGCCTCAAAAAGAAACAAAGCAAAAAACACAATCCATACAACAACGAAGGAGCACGCACCGAAAATCAACAGCTCAGTTAATATTATCACATCTATCAGCCGACAACGACCACGATCGTCGGAAGACGAGTGCTCTCCCTGACCTCACAGCTTCGTCTCAACAAAGGGGGGGGGGTGAATACCGACAGCACCAACAACTCCCTCTCGAGCGCACTCAAACCAATCCATATCCTCGTGCAAGCCGGAAAGTCTTGGAGCGTGCCAACTCATGTGATCCAGACAGACACAGCCTGCACATTCACAAAAGGTTCAACGCTCCCCCGCTTAGGCTGTGGGGCGGGATGCGGATCGTCGCACAAGCCGAGCCAAAAACCGTCCTTCCCCCCAACGAGACGGGCGGCCGGACATGGCCGGCTTCGCTAGGAGCTGCTGCTGCTGCTGCTGCTGCTGCTGCTTGTCGCGGAGTCAGACGTGTGCTTGCCCACGAGGTTCCACCACGGAACCATCCACCAGTTGAAGGACGCCCAGACGTAGTAAGACTGGTGATCGATGTTCTCGTAAGAAGAGTTACCCCACTCGCTGAAAGCCACCTCCACCCACCGTTCTCGCATGTTGTGCGCGACCTACTCGGTAGAGTGTGTCGTGGGCGGGGGCAGGGGGCGGTGTTGTCAGCGGCGGAATCGAGCTATAGCTCCATGGCGGCGTATCATGGGAGCCAAGGCTGTGGTACTACACTCTTTTGTTGATGCGACCGACCTTTCGGGGGCGCTTGTGTGCGTCGTCTTTGTTCTCCCAAACTTCATTCATCTTCAAGGCAACGAAATGCGAACAATCGCAGGCCAACAACACACCGCTAGAGCGAGAGCCAGAGAGGAGCACGCTCTCATGAAACACGCGACACAGGTGTCAAATACACGTCGACGATCGTGGGGAGGCACGACACACCGGCAAGCCCAACCAACACAAGCAAGCATACGAAAACAGCAACAGAAAACACCACCAAAACCACCGCCACGGGAAAGACTTACGTCCGGGAGGTCGTAGATAAGGTTGGTCTCTTCCCGCGGGTCCGCTTCCAAGTCGAAGAGGTAGTCCGTGTAGTTGTAGCTCGTGCAGCCCTGGCCGCAGTCGGAGCAGGGGCTGCCGTCGCAAGCGATGGTGAGGTTCGTCAGGGGTTCCTCCGCGAGGATGTGCTTGTCGAAGGTGTACCACCCGGTGCACCACTCGTTCGCCAGGTACTTGTACTTGCCGGATCGGAACGCCCCCTGGGCGAGGTTGAACTCCGGGTCACCGATCCTGTTCACGTTTAACGTTAGCATCGTGTGACAAAAAAAAAGCGGCGGGATGGAGGGTCAACAAAGAAAAACTAGCTTCTTCGTTGGCTCTTGTGGTGCTTGTACAGAAGGCAGGGAGTTGCTCTTTCGAGAGCTCCATATACTCTCGATTGTATCGAAGCATGTATCCCATGGCGAAAAAACGAACAAGCACAGCTTGGAGCAAGCGTCCGTCCATCTAGGACACAGCAGTCAGAGGTACAAGTACCCGCAAAACACGGTAACTGTTGTACCCTGAGTCTACGTGCGGATCGGAAGGGTCGACGATACAGAGGACACGACTCAGGATTTAACGCCAACAAAAACGAAACAAACAACAGCAACAGCCGGAGAGTATATATCGCCACGCGCGTCTTTTGCAAGGAAAGGACAAAATAGAAGCCTACGCATGCACAAGAAGAAAAAAACAACTCACTCGTCTGAGCTGTCCACCCAAAGGATGTACGGGTCGAAGTTGTACATCATCTCGTCCCTTGCGCTGCCGAACTCTGCCTCAGCAGCCACGCTCGTGATCAACGGCCACTGGTCCACCCCGTCAAAGGGACCGGCACTGATGGATCGATCCATCCATCCATCACCGTCATTGGTTATTCAAGTGCGAATCGCGTGGAGGTTTCGCAGGTAGCAAAGACCACCGCAGCAGGGAGGAGGAGGGGGAGGGGGAGGGGGAGGGGGAGAGTTCAGTCGCGCATCTTGCGCCAAGGGAAGAAGCAACGGAATGAAGCATGAAGCGAGCCCGTGACTGCTCCAAACCTATGTATCAACCGGTAATCAACCAACCTCGCGACAAAAAACATCGAGACTTTCGGCCCTGCGAACACAGCACGCCAGAAAACAAAAACAAAAAACGCAAGCCGGTTCAATCAATACATTTCATGGCACCGTGAAGACTGTAAACAATTAACACCCTCAAGGCAAGCGCATGTTTTGAGGTTGCGCCGCTGCGAACACCCTGGAAAAGCCACCGCACGCTACCGCTGTGGAGGTTAGGCTAGCTTCATACGTACCCTCCATCGAGATCGATTTCCGCGGCGCCGGCGATGGTCGGCAGCCAATCAGTGACGTGCATGAGCCCGTCGTACTCGGTCCCCCAGCGTTCCTCTGGGATGTGGCTTTTCGAGTACACGAACGAGGGTACCTGAAAAAAAAAAAAAACGCGGAGAGTTCAGTAAAGCAGCATGCCATCATACGATTACACTTGAATACAGCCGCGGAAAGGAATAAAACACAGCACGTAAATCGACGAAGACACGAACTTGAGAAAAACTGTCGCATTCAGGGTGTTCGCGGCGGCGCAGCGTACAGCAGAACTGTCCAGGCTTCCCCCAGCACCACAACCGTCACAACAGCACTAGCGGTAGCACTGTCTTTACCTTGGTGCCACCCTCCCAGTACGAGTGCTTGATCCCGCGGAGGGGGTAGTTGCTTCCGCCGCAGCTCGGGCAGCCCCCGTTGTCGCTGGCCACGATGATGATCGAGTTCTCCATCCAACCATTTGTTTCGAGGTACTCGACCAGTTCTCCGATGGTGTAGTCCAGGTACATGAGCACCTGGTCGCCATAGCAGCAGCAACAGCAAATGTTGTACAAACAAAAATCGAATGGGGGATGAGAGAAGGAAAATTATAAAACACACGATAAAACCCAACACCAGCGCAAGTCTCAACGGCCGGTCCCAGCAACGTTGATCGTACGTATGAGTGGTAGGGGGCAAATTCGCCCAAATTACGCTATTAATAGTGGTGCCGCATTTTCGTCACCTTGGCGAAGCGCGCTCGCAGGGCCTCGGTCCCTTCTTCGCTGCCCGTTTCGATCCTCTCGAGAAGATCAAGCTGGTCCGGAGTAAAGTGCTCGGCGGGAGGCAGGCCCAGCGGGTCATGCACAGCCTGGTGGGCCAGGTACATGTAGAGAGGCTCGTCGTCGTATGGAGTCTTCTCGTGAATGATCTGTGTGCGTCGTCAGAAGCGGGGGGAGGGCAGAAGGGCCGGAAACCAGTGAAGAGCGTTCGGGGGGGGGCGTTCGCAGTTGGTGTTTTGTACAAGGTCGGGCGGGGGGGGGGGGGGGGG